AGAATATGTATGGTTATGTAGAAGGTTATTATTATTGGTCGAATTATTAATAGTCGATTGTTATTTGGTCGTTCGTTGTTAGTAGTAATTAAATAACAAGTCATTAAAAAAAGGTAATCATCATGTAAAGAATGAGAATTTCCGTTATAAAAGTATTGTATATAAGAGATGTTTATAAGAAGAAGTTCTGATGTTGAAACACTTGTAAATATATGTAAATAAACTGTACAAAGAAACTCCTCGATTATTACTCCAACAAGCCAAGTTCCAGACTGTCCAAAGCCCCAAAAAAAAACAACAATTTGTTAACTAGGTACCTGAACTATTAATTCCGGCAGAAACTAGATATTTTTTTGTGTTTTTTGGCCCATGTGTGGCGGCCACGCCATCTTGAATGTGACGTGGTTTGAATTAGGCAATCCAACGACCTGTCCAAATGGCGTCTGGTTGGCAAACAATAAACAGAAAACATATGTTTTTTTTTTTGGCAGGATTAAGCCTAGTACTCATAACAGCGAAATTCGCTCTTTTTTGACATTGCTTCGACAATTTGACGTTTTATGCGTAAATCAAACGTCAAATTGTCGAAGCAATGTCAAAAAAGAGCGAATTTCGCTGTTATGAGTACTAGGCTTTATCAATCTGACAATTTTCTGACATCGTTGACATGTAACAACCCGTATTCTAACCTCATAAAAATTTCAAAATGCCGGCTGGTTGGCAAAAGTCACGTGGTTTGGATTCCCTAATTAGGCAATCCAACGACCTGTTCAAATGGCGTCTGGTTGGCAAATAATAAACAAAAAGCATATGTTTTTATTTTGACGGGATTAAGCCTAGTACTCATAACCGCGAAATTCGCTCGTTTCTGACGTTTGATTCACACATAAAACGTCAAATTGTCGAAGCAATGTCAAAAAACAGCGAATTTCGCTGTTATGAGTACTAGGGTTTATCAATACTGACATCGTTGACATATAACAACCCGTATTCTAATCTCATAAAAATTTCAAAATGCCGGCTGGTTGGCAAAAGTTACGTGGTTTGGATTCCCTAATTGCCTAATAACAGTGTAGGGTTATGTTTATTATTCTTATTTGTTGTTCCGTTTCAACAATAGTTTGTTGTTTAGGTACAAAAAATGGAGCGGAATTTCTCGTTAGTCTCGTTTATCCAAGAGATTTTTTTGGGGATATGACCTAAATCTTCTCGATCTAAGCATGGTGAGTTGCAGTGAGTAATATGGAGGTGCATACTTCTTCCATTGTGCCTGGTCACAACACAACCGCAAAATCACAAAACACCAATATCTTTCCCGAAAATAATCAGAATAACATCAAAAAGCTATAACCAAAAGATTAACCCAAGTCCAAAGGTGGGTGATAATCGGTTATAAGTGGTAAATACCAAAAGCAAATCAGCTGAGCTGTGACGTCACAGCTTCCTCTACTTTGGTAAAAACCGCGATCGCGGACATGGATTGGTTAAAACCAAATAATTATCATTCCAGGGCCTAGTGATTAGCCGAAGGGAACGTTCCCTAGGGAACTTTCCCATTCCCAGGGAACGTTCCGGGAACTTTCCTTTAGGGTCGGGAAAGGGAACAAAAACTGGGAATGTTTTTGAAAAAACAAAATTGAATAATATTGGCTCCAAATTAACAAGTTGTCTTTTTTTTGTCAGCACTTTGAGATTTTCAGGGTTTAGTACAATATTACAATACAATATTTAGTTTTTTTCAGGGTAAAATATTTAGTTTTTCTACGAGCGTGCGGGAAATGATTCTTCCCGCACTATTTGCTCTACAGGAAGAGTTTGAAATAATCATTGTGACATCGAATTGTTAACACATTCAATGACACCTGATTTTGTTGACATATTTTAACTGGCATTAGCGGCATTTCCCGCCAACGTCATAATGCAAATGCGGGCGCTGACGTTATATGACGCATTTCCTTTTTTTGGTCCTGATCTACTAAGCTCCTGACGGAGCTAGCGTTGTATGCCGTCGATTTAGCGTATATTTGGTGTTAGGGTGCCGTATTGGAAACCCAAAAATATATATTTAGAATGGATAGTATAATTAACATCCCCAGAACCCGAGACACAGGTTGCAGCATATCAAGGTGTCGTTCTGAGCGCACATCCATATTTTTGGTGCCGTTTTCGACACAGTGGCTATGACGGCAAATGCCGCAGGTGTCATTGAATGTGTTAATACACCTTTACCTTTACCTTTTTTTTTGTAAATACTGGTTAATACATTTTTAATTTTACCTTCTGCACAATCGCATTTTATTTGAATTAAATTTCTTGTAACATCACTTTTAATATGCTCGTAAAAAAAATATAGTTCCTAACTCTTGCGGGAAGAAATTTCCGGCACTCGTTAGGAAAATAGCTATTTTCTTACTACTAGGTAAAAAATAAAATGTAGTTTTTATTGTGCAATATTGCAGTACACAGTAGTAATGTAGTAATGTTTAAGGTTTTCCACTGATCTCAAGAGTCAAGAGTAAAAAACCATAGGTATAAATATTTTTCATTTCCTTAGTAGTTATTTTTCAAATGCATTATCCTCGGCATTATTGAATAAAACAAGTTTACTTTTCAAAATTTCGTTTTTCTTCAATGGATGCAGGCAATTTTGTTTATTGTTTTGGTTTTAGCAAACATTCCTTCACATTCCCAATTTTAGGGAACGTTCCTGGAAATGTTCCCGGGAACTTTCCCAAAAAACACTTTCCCGTGAATCTGCCCATCACTATTCCAGACTGAAAATCGCCTTAAGCCAACTCTTGATGTCTCCTCCAGACTGTCTGAATTTAATTTTGGGAAGTTTTAGTTTGGATTTAAATTCTGATTTCTGAGAGCTTGTATCTTTCCATCTTATTAAAGTTAAATTTGATTTTGGCGATCAAAAAAAAAGTAGTACAAAAATTATTAATCCCAATTTGAGCTCCCGTTGTAACATACAAAATTTTGACATGCAATGACATATTCTAGGTTAAAAACGGGTGGAAAAATGTCAAAATAATGTCATCTCAAGCTTTCTAGGTTAAAAACTTGTCGAAAAATGCCAAAAATATGTTATTTTTGGTAATGAATTAAATTAATGTATAATAGACCAGGAGATTTTGGAGATTTTTCTTATACTACTTTTTTTTGATCGCAACTGTACCTACTTATTCCACTTAAATCATATACCTACCTATATCAAATATATAAAAAGAATAAGGGGGCTTCTAACAATGTCAAACAAAACAATATTCAATAGAGTATTGTCCAAAAAAGAAGTTTAGGGAAATTCAAAGAAATCCAAGAGGAAGTACATATGAGGAATTATTAGGAAAAGAAAAACCCAGAATTTAGGAAAAATTTCATGGAGGTACATAGGTACGGGAAATAATTGAATGATAGACTCTAGAACCGGTTTATTCACCTTCTGATTAACTATCAAATAACTAACTGCGAGATAAATTTACTTATTATAATTCTATTGGCGGATAAATAGCCGACCAATGAGATTACAGATTGAGTTTTTATCTGATTCTCGTCTCAGGGAGTAGAGTTCTCCGGGAGAACATATTTTTTGCCTTTATCATTCTCGTTTACTTGTCGATTACGTTGACAAGGACAAAACATTCGTTCTATCTTGAGATGAGAATCGGGCCAAATTACCTGAAAGTTTATCAGAAGGAGAAGGTGAATAAACCGGCCCTTAAAGCAAAATTTGGATTTCTCCATCGATGATTTGTGAACAATTATTATTTGGTACCTATATAAGTTTGGACATACAATACATAAATTTTTCTATTTTTATGTCTCAATTTTTGTCTATTCCTGGCTCTTGAACTTTTGTCTTCTTTATGTTCTTTCTCTAAATAAATTTGAAATTCTGGGTTGAGAATACTGATGAACATTCAAGAGTCTGGAATAAATTTATGTTTTTTTTTTTCCTAATTTTTTCTTCAATTTTCATTTCTCATTTATTTCTCAAATTTTCCCGTCTCAATTTTTGTCTCTTCTCGGCTCTGGAATTTGCTTCTTTCAATGTTCTCCAAATGAATAATGCAAGAGATATTTCTACTTATCTAGCAATTTTTCTTAAATTTTCTATTTCATTCTTCTATTTTTGTCTATTCTTGAATCTTGGCCCTTGAGATTTTTAAAATAAATAAGTGTGCGGAAAAGTGCTACTTTGCTTATAAAAACATGTGCGCAAAGTAGCTTCTTTGCGGTCACAGCCAAGAATCGAAAAACTAACAGGATTGCTCATGTTTATAAGGCGTACGTTCGCCATTTCTCGAATCGACAGGGTCTGCGAGTGACGTCACCACAATTAGCAGCATTATAGGGTGACATCACCCGTAGACCTCGATGGGATGCTTGCGATTCAGATTGTGCCTGTTTTTAAATGTAGAAAAGTTAATTTTATCAAGATTATAACGTTGATAAATTCGTTTTTTTGACCTATAGTGTTTTAAACTTGACTACAATACAATCGGTACGGGCTTAGAGGGCACTGAAAAAATTAGCTTCAAATTGAGTTTTTATTTTTTTCTCAAGATTTTCGATAAGGCTCCAACAGATTCATCTTTTGACTGGTGATAAATACCGCCCCTTTCAACAATGTGTCCATTTTTTTTTTCAAAATCAAAAGGGTTTTAGGACACCTATGGTCCCTAATTATGGGTTGAAAATATGAAAAAATTAGCTTCAAATTGAGTTTTTATTCTTTATTTAAGTGCAAATAGCTTCTTTGCGGTAAAAATGCCGAATACAAGAAAATTAATCCAAATAATAAACTTCCTGTCCACCATATTGGTTTAACCTCTTTTGTCCAATAGCCTTGATAGCATACGGTGCAATACTTTCACTCCTGTATTCGTTATCCTTGTCATTTCTCTCGAGTAAAACAAGGATGCAACGTTAACCGACCCATTCTGTCAGAAAATACAAAGGCAAGGCTGACATTTATTCAAATTTGTTCCGGTATTGATTTTTGAATTTTGTTTACCTACAAATTATAAAATATTTGTATTTTAAGCGCTCATTCATTAGTTGTAGTTTAAAAATTAATAATTTAAGCTTAGTAGAGTGAAATGGCATAAGTATGATAAAGCAGAATCATTTTCAAGAGACCAAAAACTCCCATAACAATCTCAAGGTGAGTTAAAGGAAAATTTTTGCTATTCATTTTATCATGAGTTGAAATATTTTTAAGCCTAATATGAGAAATGAAGATTGTCCAGTTTTGAATCTAAAAGAAGAGTTGATAATTAAGGATGAACCAGTTTCAAATCCTCAACCAACAAGTTCCCTCCTTCGAAAAGATTCAACTTTGTTGAAAAGCAATGTTGAAGCTCAATTATCTTATAATAGTAAGCGCAAACAAAGCTACATAGATTTTTTAAGTATATTATTTTAAACTGTTTTCAGACAATGATATCAAAATCAAAGTGGAACCGCTCAATCAAAATAATAAAACAAATTTTATAGAAATGTGCGATGAGGATGATAAAATAAAATTAAAAAAGCTACAAATAATAGAAAACGAAACGACCGTATATAAATGTCAGCAGTGCGACTGTGTCATTCAAAAGTTTGAAGAATACAAGTTGCACAAAAGCAGACATTCCATTGAGAAAAGAACTTGCAAAATTTGCAAACTGGTTTGTCAGTCTATCACTAAGGTAATTGGTTAAAAAAGTTAATCTGGATTCTATAAATGGAACAAACTTCTAGCTTCTAGCTTATTAGAGCCAATCAGATTCCTCAAAAATAACAGTCAGAAACAAACTTATAGGTTGATAACTTTATGACGTCATCTGTGGTGCCTCAACATAATGCAAATCTTTAATAAGGTACCGCAAAGTTACCCATTACCAGACAACCTGTTTACTTTAGGAACCATGAGTTAAAAACATTTTGCAAACTGTGACTCGATTTTTGAGGATACTGATTTAAATTCTTAATGCGTTTCCGGTTGGAAGTAGTAGGAATTAGTGCAAAGAAAATAATGTACATATTTCTATCAGTTTCTTTAATAAGACGAGAGAAAGAGATGTGCGCATAAAATCTACCAATCGGAAACGCCATGAACAAATACCAATAATTCTAACTTGAGTCACCGCCAATTAGATAATTTGAAAATATTAGGCATCAGGCGTCACGTGTAAAAAAAATCCAGAAAATCCAAAATAATTCCAAAACATGCCAAAAAATTCCACAGAATGCCAACTAATTCCAAAAAATGCCAATCAATTCCAAAATTTTTTATTTTGATACAAACAGTGAGATCTCAAGTCAAATAATGTTTTTTATTAGGTATGCATCATAATCAATGATTATCATCGCACGCTTGCAGCGTGCATAAAATGATGTTTATGATGTACCTACCTACCTTTTCAAATGAGGTTCGCTATAGAACACTATAGAATCGTTTGATATACTTTATTACCTAGATATTTACCTGCCTTTTAAATTACTATCTATCAAAATAGTCCTAGCGGCTCGCGAAAATTTTCATCGAAAAGCGGCAAATTGTGCAAGAAATATGGTATAACGGTTTTTTAGACCATTTTAAGTGATTTGATCCGATGTACACCGACTTTAATTAATTGTGACACCCCCCACCCCAAAATGGCGGGAAATTCAGAAGGTCCAGTTATGAAATTGTTGGATTTTTTAATAATAAATATGATTTTTATGTTGATCAAGGTTCTGGGATATCTAAAATATTATTTTAAAACATTTAATGGAATACTGCTCCTCTGTAAGAAGTATAATATACAGCGTGGACAAAAAGAACGGAACACCTATTATAGGGGTATGAAAACCATCTTTTTTTTTTGTTGAGAAATCGCTCTTACCCGTCAATTTTATTTTTAAGCTGCGCATTTTTTGGAGAAAAATAAATATACAGGGTGTCCAAAAAGTAGTGTTACTTGCATCAACTTATTAGTATGTTTTTTTAATCGGCAACCCAATATTACCGAGACAGTTAGAAATAGGTAGGTATAGGACATCATACATAATACATATTTCCATAAGTTTTCGTAGAATTCAAAAATGCAATAATATATAGGGTTGCTATTTGAAATAACAAAGTTGATGCAGGTAACTCCATTATTGAGACACTCCGTATATATTTTTTTTTCAAAAAATAACCTGATTAAAAATAAAATTGACAGGTCCGAGCGTAGATATAACGTAGACTGTAGAGAGACGGAGAAAGCGAGCCAATGACTATGACAGACGAGGAACGATTGACAAAAACCAAAGATTATAAGCAAAGAGGATTGCCTATTATTATCAAGCGCCGATACCCATGTGACGTCACTAGATGTGCGTCTCCCTTTTGTGTGGCCCTTCGTCTTCACCTCGACTCATACACTAAGTCTAAAGGCTGTATGAGGGAGGGTACCTATAGTTTTTAAAAAGTTTCACTTTTTAACACGTGTACGATGGTACACATGATTTTTTTGAAGTGAAACTTCTTAGGCGGCGGTCTGATTTGGACGAGAATGAAACGACACGTTTTGGCAAATTTCGGCATACGAGAGACGAGAGAGAAGAAAGATATAACGTAGAGAGACAAAGAAAGATAGCCAATGACAATGACAACCGACGAAAGATTGACACAAACCAAGGATTATAAAAAAAAGAGGATTGCCAGTTTGGTGACGTGAGGCAGCGTGAGTCACGGCAAGTTTTTGTGAACCTGATGGCGTTTCCCATTGGTAGATCTAGTGCGGAACTAGTGCAATTTCTTCTATTTCTGTCTTTTTCTTCTACGGGTCGATTAAAAGGATGCAAATACACTGAGTGCGCACTGAATCTACCAATCGAAAACGCCATAAGTAAGAATAGGTAATGCGCATATTACTTCGCACTTCGCAGCGTAACGTGACGCAGTTTTGGTCCTGCGGAAGTGCAGATTGCAGTGTACTTGCGCAATTGTTCTCGTAGAGTCACGGTGCGTGTTTTGAAATTTTTGAAAATGGAAGAAAAATTAATTGAGGCCGAGGCCGTGCGGATTCGACAAGTTTTATACGTTACAAGCCATAGAGACTATATGCGAACAAAACTAAAAACTGAAAAGCAGCAGCTGCCATTTTATCTGCACTGTGCGTCTGCCTGCGAAGTAAAAACTACCATTGTATTTGCGCGGTTACTATTTTCAAGCCCCGATATCCTTGTGACGTCACTACAGATGCACGTTTGTCTTTTGTGTAGCCTTTCGTCTTTATACCCCGAGTCATGCGTCAAGTCTGAAAGTTCTATGAGGGAAGGAGTATTTTTATGATTTTTTTTATGTTTTAATAAAGTTGGGAAAATTGGGAATGTCACCCCCCCCCCCCCCCAAACCAGAGGTCTTCGCTACGTCCCTGAGAAGAGCAGCCTATCAGGCTGGAAAAATCTGGGGACAAGTCACTCAATATGACCCAAGATATTTCTCTCAAAAAACTGGGGTTGGACAGAGTACAGGGTGTCCCGGATAAGGATGCACTCTATAGGGATCTCCATAACCATAAAAGATATAGGGTTTGCTAAATTTGGTAAAAGTTGCGCATTACTGAGTTCAGTGGCATCATGTTTTGATATTTGGGATATTCCGAAGATATCCATAAAAAACCGAATTTTGCCGAAATCGTTTTTATTTTTTTCTGACTTTATTTGAAATAATGTTGCAAAATATACTTCACATTTTCATTGCCACTTTTTCTCCACTACCATGATAATGTTATTAGATTTTTGATCAGACGTTTCGTTTCTTCGCGATCATCATCAAATTTGTTTTTTCATTTTTTTTTTATTTTAAAAGTAGAGTTTATTAGGCAAAAAAAAAATAAGAAATTTCGACCCATTGGAAAAACAAACTTGATGATGATCGCGAAAAAACGAAACGTCTGATCAAAAATCTAATATGTAATATTATTATGTAGTGGAGAAAAAGTGGCAATGAAAATGTGAAGTTTATTTTGCGATATCATTTCAAATAAAGTAAAAAAAAAAAATAATAACGATTTCGGAAATAGTTATTTATGCAACAAGTGTGTAAAGTAAACCTTTTTTCACGAATGTGATCACATGAGTGAAAAAAGGTGCTTTACGCACGCATTATATACAAAAATTTTTCTACTACCAATCAAATATGTCAAAAAATAGATTTAGACAAATACTTTACACACTAGTGCGTGAAGTATTTCCACTTTACGCACTAGTGCGTGAAGTGATTTACCAGACAAATACTAAATTGACAGTGTCAACATCTGTCATTGACATTACTTGACGCACTAGAGTGTGAAGTGAATTACTTTACGCACTAGTGCGTGAAGTGAAATTTGTCGTCTTCTAAATAGTGCGTAAAATGGGTACTTTACGCACGGTAGTAGAAAAAATTCGTTTTTTAATGGATATCTTCGGAATCATTCGGAATATCCGAAATATCAAAACATAACGCCACTGAGTTCAGTAATGCGCAACTTTTTTCAAATTTAACCGACCCTGTATCTCTTATAGTTACTGAGATCCTTGTAGAGTGCATCCTTATATCCGGGACACCCCTGTATATGGGTGAAAGATGACAACCAAAATGCAGCACATTAGTGACCTCAAGGATTTCTTGAATAAATTTTGCTATGAAACGACATATCACACGCCCTAGAGGAGAATTATATACAAAAATGTGAAAAAATGGGCCGCCATTTGGAAGAAAACCCCTTACAGAGGAGCAGTATTCCATTAAATGTTTTAAAATGATATTTTAGATATCTCAGGACTTTAAACAAAGTGAAAATCATATTTAATAATAAAAATCTGACAATTTAATAACTGATATTCTGAATTTTCCGCCATTTTGGGGTGGGGGGTGTCCCAATTGATGAAAGTCGGTGTACATCGGGTCAAATCACTTAAAATGGCCTAAAAAACAACTATGCCAAATTTCATGCTTGTACCACAATTTGCCGTTTTTTTTTTGCTTACCGCTAGGACTAAAATGAACGGACACATTTAAAACATTTTTGAAATTATGATGCATTCGTAATAAAAAATAGCGTATGATATGCGTGTAGTATAAGAGCATTTAAAGCCCTTGCGACTCACAAAACACGTCATGTTTTGAAATATGTCGCGCGTGCTTTAAAGGCCCTCTTATATACTTATTACTTATATCATAAGATCATAATATAATATAATATGTCATAATATACTATTACTGAAACTAAACAAACATAAAAATTTAAGATTGTACTTTTGGAATTTTTTTAAAATATTTAATACTCGGGCAAATTCCAAGAATTAGATTTGCAAATATACTGAAATACGCTCAGAAAAACCTTGTACCCAGCTCTTAGCCTCTAAATAACATTCACTTTTTGTTAAATTCTTTCATTCATCCAAAATTTTTTCAGTTAAAAGAACACATAAACACCCACACAGGCTCAAAACCGTTCGAATGCCCGAAATGCAAGAAAGCCTTTACAGCAGCTCACACATTAAAGTGTCACATGGAATGCCACAAAACCAGTTTAAATTTTGAATGCGACAAATGCAACAAAGCCTTTAAAACCAAAAGGTCTTTGCGAGGCCACTTGGACACTCACGCTCAAAAAGTCAAAGAGTATTCGTGTAAAACTTGTAAAGAAGAATTCAGGGTTTATTCCGAATTACGGCGTCATCTTGTTACGCATCACGAGGCTCGATTACCGGAGCCAAAATGTGAAATGTGCGGAAAGGTAATTATTGAAAACTATTTTATAATTATTTCAATTATGTGGCTTTTATAGATTTTCAAATTTGAATCTCACTTACGGACTCACTTGGCTGTCCATAAAGAGCTGAAATTTCCTTGTCAGTATTGTAATAAGATATTTGATTCGATGAATAAATTGAGAAAACATGTTAATCGAAGTCACGTCATTAATGAGTGTGATATTTGTAAAAAGATTTTTTACGATAAAAGTGAGTTTGCAAAGCATAAGAAACATGAACATGTTGAAGGTAAAATAATTGATTCTTATAAGTTTTATGAGATTATTTTTTTTTTTAATTGTTTTGTTTTGCTTTTTTGTTTTAGGTATTAGACTTATTTGGATTATTCTGTTTATTTTTTAAAAAAATAATAAGGTATAGATATATATATTTTTTAATTTATCGCAGGGTGAAGGTATCTAACATTACTAACTAATGCATTTTATGTTTTTGCAAACCAATTAATTCTTTCCACTATTGAAAAAGGAACAAATTTCTTTTATAGATAAACCAACAAAATGCGAATTTTGCAACAAGGCCTACGACAAATCAAAAAACTTACAAGAACACATCAGAATTCAACATACCAAAGACAATTTGGAAAATAAGTGCGAAACCTGCGAAAAAACTTTTATCAATAGGTTTTTGTTGAACAATCACGTTAAAACGCACTACAAGTGTTTTAAATGTTCTGGATGTCCTATGACATTTTCGTCTAGGTACAACCTCCAAATCCATTCAGTCACGCACACCAACGAGAGAAAATTCAAATGCACCATTTGCCTGAAAAGTTACTCATCAAAAATAAGCTTGCAAAATCATGTGACTAGTCACTTTGAAGATCGTCCATTTCAGTGCAATCAGTGCGAGAAAACATTCAAAAACAATCGGTAACTTCTAATCAAATTTTATATTTCCATCAACAATCAAAATAACATCGATTTTAGACGACTTTATGTTCATAAAATATCCCATGAAACCACTTTGAGATTTGAGTGCTTCAATTGCGGTAACAAGTTCAAGTCTAAGCAGTACTTGAAAGCGCACATGTATAAACACAATAAGAGTGAGTACTATAATTAGTCAATTCAAAATCAGCACCACTATATTTTTAGTCAAGCCCTTCACCTGTCAAAATTGCTCTAAACAATTTAAGCACAAAAAGACTTTGGACAAACATGTATCGAAAAAACATCAAAGAATTATTAAACAAGAAGTGATTGGCCAAAAAGAAGATAATTTTGTCAGTATGAAAACTGAAATATTCAAATAAGTTTTGTAGCTTTAGTAGAGTCAAACTTGTATATAAGAAGAACAGAAATCATTTTTGTTCATCTGTACAATTTGTTATCAAATCAAAATCGAGCCTATAGGGCCTGGAATCAAAACATTGATCCACATATAAGTTGGTTTTGCATTTTCTTATGAACAAGTTTGACTCAATGTCTAGTCATTTTTCTAGTTGTTAATAATTTTCTAGTCAAATAAAAATGTGTCTAGTCTTTGTGAGAAACTTTATTGTACTAATATATTCTTGTAAAAATTGGTTTTGTTTCTTATAAAAAAATACATCATCCATATAATTACTGACCAATCACCATTTGGCCAAAAAAAAAAAAAAGTAAGTCGCAAGCTTGACCGATATAAAGCAGAAAACGCACATACGGCAGAGGCGGCGATGGCGTTTTCTTTTTTCGGACGGTGCTTATTTTTATTATCATTGTACCGGTACGACAACATAGGTACTCACATAGGTACTCTTTGCGAACGCAGTTTAGCAGCAACTCTTGCCGTAGTACCATTTATAGAGCGTTGGTATTTATTAGTGTTTAGATTTGAAATGCTTTTTTGGCAACAATGTACGAAGGGTAAGTACCTACTAATTATTCGTTTAATAACTCAAATCCAGTTACAAGCATTTTAAGTTTTGTAAAAATTGTTATACGCCTACAGTTGTTGCCCCAAAAAATCTGTTCTCATTTAAATGTTCTCATAAAAATTCAAGTACAAAAAATATCTGCATAATGTAGGACATTACAGTTTCTTATTGTGTAGAGTAACATTATTTTGCTAATCTATTGGGACATAGACAAAAAGACCTTTGGATCTGCTAGAGTTCATTTGAAAGATTCGGATTTTTTCTCTGTTTCTAATAATATGTATTTGCTGAGGCAGTTTGATAGAGTGACACATCGATGCAAGATGCAATATAGTGTGACTTTACCTAAAAAAACTTATTTCACAAAAATGTCTCATCCAATGGTACAATCTCCTTTGTATAAACATCGTCCTGACAAGGCATACTTTTCTCGTAATACGATTTCTATCAACTTGTCAAAAGTTGCGGGGGCGTTACAGAGTCCAAAAGGCATTACCTTGAATTGGTAAAGACCACTTTCAGTGTAAAACGCTATGTTTTCTCTTTACCTTTTTTACCTTCAAGAACTTTATATTTATATTAGATAGTGGATATACCTATATTTTGTTGATTATAATATTAAAATAAAGTACCTACCTAAACTATTTTAGTAGGTAGGTACCTAATTTTTCAATTGAGTTGAAGAAATCATTAAAAGTTCCTTGCACATTTCTTAATGTGGATTTCAGTTATACCTACAAAATTTTCAATGACCATACATTATTTTTGTCCCAGTACATACTTAATTTTCTTAAGTAAGTGTGGGTGAACTTTATACATAAGTATAGGTACTAAATCAATATGTATTACAAATTTTTGCCAATTTCAAAAAAAAAAAAATAATAATAATCCGCTAAAGACATATCTAACTCGATTTTCCGGTCGTCTACATTTCGAAGTCGGCAGCATTAAAACTTGGTTGAAATCCCAAAGAAAGTAAATGACGATGAGTAAGTGTGTAACTGGGACGATAATATAATATATTTTTGAAAATACGTCGTACCGATTGCCATCCATCGGTCGTACCACGCTTTAATGAGCTCGCAAATATATATAATTTTGATTGTAACGGTAGAAACAAACATTTTTAAAGTAACACAAAATGATATATTTTGTGTGATTTATGGATTTTAATGAGAAACTAGAGTTATGCGGATATAAGACCTGCATTTTAGTATTCGACAAACTTTCAAAAGTTTCTCCAATGATTTATTTTTTCAACTAGTTTGACGGATCCCAAAGGACCGTTAGGACACAAAATCTCAACAAAATAAAAAACCTTATGATATAGATTTTGGAAAACTTTGATAGAAAAAAAGCTGAAATTTTCAGCGATTCTTATCCCACTAGAGGACTACAATCCCTGAAAATTTCAGTTCATCTGGTCTATAGTTCCAGAAATAAAACCGTGTTAAGCAATTTGGGGTGATTTATCAATTTTTCAATTTTTCTGAGTGCCTTTTTTTATAGAATCTGGCTCCAAATCTCAGAATAATTTAGTGTATGAAGCTTGAGGGATCCCAAAGGACCATTAGGATACAAAATCTCAACGAAAAAAAATTTAAAATTTCATCGTTTCAGTAAAAGGGTAGCTACCTTATGATTTAGATTTTGGAAAACTTTGAAAGGTCATTACTTTTTTTCTATTAAAAATAAAAAGCTGAAATTTTCAGCGATTCTTATCCCAGTAGAAGACTACAATAACCCTGAAAATTTCAGTTCATCTGGACTTATAGTTCCAGAAATAAAATCGTGTTAAGAAATTTGGGGTGATTTATCAATTTTTCAATTTTTCTGAGTGCATGTTTTCATAGAATCTGGCTCCAAATCTCAGAATAATTTAGTGTATGAAGTTTGAGGGATCCCAAAGGACCATTAGGACACAAAATCTTAACGGAAAAAAAATTGAAATTTCATCGTTTTAGTAGGAAGGTAGCTTACCTTATGATTTAGATTAAAGATAGAAAACTGAAATTTTCTACGATTCTTATCCCAGTAGAGGACTACAATCCCTGAAAATTTCAGTTCATCTAGACTTATAGTTCCAGAAATAAAATCATGTTAAGCAATTTGGGGTGATTTATCAATTTTTCTGAGTGCCTTTTTTCATAGAATCTGGCTCCAAATCTTAAAATAATTTGGTGTATGAAGTTTGAGAGATCCCAAAGGACCATTAGGACACAATATCTCAACGAGAAAAATTTTGAAATTTCATCGTTTTAGTAAGAAGGTAGCTTACCTTATGATTTAGATTTTGGAAAACTTTGAAAGGTCATAACTTGTTTTCTATTGAACATAGAAAGCTAAAATTTTCAGCGATTCTTATCCCAGTAGAGGACTACAATCCCTGAAAATTTCAGTTCATCTGGAGTTATAGTTCCAGAAATAACATCGTGTTAAGCAATTTGGGGTGATTTATCAATTGGGTGTATGAAGTTTGGGGGATCCCAAAGGACCATTAGGACACAAAATCTCAACAATTTTTTTTTTGAAATTTCATCATTTCAGTACTGAAGTAGCAACCTTATGATTTAGATTTTGAAAAACTTTGAAAGGCCATATAACTTTTTTTCTATTAAATATAGAAAACTGAAATTTTCAACGATTCTTATCCCAGTAAGGACAATAATCCCTGAAAATTTCAGTTCATCTGAATATATATAGAGTTTGAGGGAGGCCAAGCTAGAGGGGCTTTTCCCAATTGAGGTACTTTGCACTAGCCTTTAGTCTACCGGTAATGGATCTCGACGCGGTATTTATACCAAATTAATGCTAACTCGCCGACACACTTTAATAAAATTGATGTTGTACAGAGTGGTATTAACTTGAATAGTTGACAATATAAATAGGTACATAAATTCATGATTCCCACTGCTGCATAATAATTTCTCAACGCAACATCGAACATGTTCCCATTTTCTCGACATTATTAAATTGTCACTTTAAAAACACACTTTTCATTTACCTACATAGGTTTTTGAATACACATAATGGTCCATTTCAATAATTGGTAATTTTCATAAACGACACCTCATTAGTTTGAACAATAGTATTCAAATTGTCCAATAATTCTTTCTAGAAAGCTTCGTTGTAGCTTAATCATGGTATTAACGCTTGCCACTTTAAGTACTACAGACGAAACGACTCAACGTTTTTTGGAAAACGCTGTTAGAAACTTGAAACATCTCAGACAACTTCAAACTGGTGAAAATACAGAAAATCCTACTGTAAGACGTAATTATCAAGTAAGTTGTTCATTCAATAAATAAAACTCAAAATTATTTATTTAAATTTCTATTAGTATGCAGAAAGTGTACCGCCTCTTTCCCTTACAAAAGGTGAACTAACCGACCTTTACCAGCAAGCAGTAGCAAAAGGTGAAACTATAAAACTGGACACGGGTGAGCATGAATATGTAAACGCTGTTGTACACCATTTGGACAATGAGCCCTCTCCACATGAGGATTTGTCTCCTCATGAAGCAGGTCCTAGTGAGGATGCCGGTTACTACTACTATTACTATCCAATTAAAAGTTTTTTGGACGAGATCACTTCACAACCGTCTGAAGAACATTCAGTGAGTAATCAAAAGTTGATTCGGATTATCGAAACTTTACTGTATTATTTTTAGGCAAGTTATCAAAAGCCTTCATACCATCATCACAAGGAAGTTGTCACACACAAGCCGCCATATACATATCATTCCCATCATCATGAGGTAATCTTCATATATACAGTACAGATTCGAATAATCCGAAAGTAAATTTAGTTTGTGTATATAAAATTTTGATTATCGAGTCTGTATCAAATTTCGTTATTTGTAGCACAATGTGACGATCCAAACAGCAGATGGTCACAAAAAAGAAGTCAAACCCATGGAACCAATCCTCATGGCGATTTCTGGTTTTCTGGGCATGGCCGCTATGTTTGTCCTGTCTATGATGGTTTTGCCCAAGTTTGGCGGTAAACCTACTAAAGTAATCAATGACATAAAGAAAAAAGAAAAACTGGACGATTTCGCCCGATTGGCTATGAACGCTATTGAAGGACATTGTGCCGAAAGGTTTGCTTGTGAATTGACCAAAACCGCTCGGTCGTTTGATGTTGAAGATAACAGATTTTACAAGTAAGAATCTACCATTATGATATCAATGTAATTATTAATTGTTTTTTTTAAGGCTTTTAAAGCGTGTGGCTCCAGGCACTTTTGGAAGGTACATGAATAATTCTGGAAAATATGCCGATAAACAGCTACAATGTACAGCGATACCTTGCACCAAAAGAAAACCAAATTATAATAATAACAAAAATCATAATAATCAAAACAGAAATCATAAAAATAACCAGAACAATAGTAATAACAAAAAGGGCCACAATTACAATACAAACCAAAAAAACAATAAAAATAAGAAAAATCCTAATAACAATAATGAAAATAAGCAGTTTACTAGATACCAAAGCCATTCAGTTTAAGTCATGATATTTATTTATTTATTTAATTTATTTCTAGATTGTTTTATTTATTATTTGATTCAATTTCAATGCATTTGAGAAAGTTGATTATAGGATTTAAAAAATACATAATTTTAATTGCTCAAAATTCTTTTTTATTTATCTTTTTTTTAAAGCAAATTTTATCTTTTCGTGTCAACTTTGAACAACTTTTGGGTTTCTCACCAACTAACCCGTTAAGTGCCAGATACCTTAACTAGTTTCTAAAATTAACAGGAAGAATAAATTGATTAAATAATGTCAGAAAAGTCCCTGGTAACTAACAGCAGTTATTACCAATGAGAATCGAAAGGGTATAGGTAGGTATATACCTAAAGTCCGTCGATTTCAATCTGATACTCCAAAAAAATGTGAGCTGGTTACGTTAGAACACCAATGGTCACCTGTTTTTGCCATATACTTCACCTCTTCGCTACTCATACGGAAAGTGTCAGATAAAAATTGACGAACAATAGGTACATTTATTTAAACCCTTAGAACATGAAAAAAAAATTCTACATAGCTTCTCCCTATACTATATACCTACACTATATACTGATACAGATTTCAATGAGTCAAGTTAAAGTTTACTAATAGAAAGATTAAATTGAAGGCTAAAATGATGCTTAGGGCGTGACACGTGCTTTGAAGTAAGAGATATTCTACTGATAAATTTCCTCCGGAGGACGGAGGGACAGGTCTGTTTACAGCTTTACAGGTCTAGAGACTAGTGTGTAGACAGCTAAACAGACTTGCCACCTGTATAGCTGTATACCGACCTGTCTATAAGTTAGGGAACGGTTAGGGTTTTCTAGTGATATAAATCTCCTCTGTAGAACGGAGGGCGTAGAACCGGCCATCTATATCTGCTTATTGTTAAAGGACCCCGCACACTTCTTATGGGATTTCTGACCGCGGTCAAATTTGTTAAATTTGACCGCGGGCACAACTTAATCCTATGACTAGTTTTTGAGATACATGTAGTTTAATGTCCAAGAAATACACATATTTTATATGCATTTATATCTACCTGTCACCTGAAAGTGAGGATACCTGTCCATCCTCGTATTATTAGGTGACAGGTAGATCTAAATGCATAGAAAATGTGTGCATTTCTTGGACATTAAACTACCTGTATCTTGAAAACTAGTCATAGGATTAGGTCCGTGAAGTTGGCCCCTAAAGTGTTAAATTTTATTTGGAAAAATATGTTGTTTGTTAGTGCTTCGTTAGTGCTTCTTAGTGCTTCAATTGTTTTCTTTAGTGCTTTTTTCGTTTTCTGTATATCGATTTTTTTGTAGTTTCAAAGTCAGCCCTGAGAATCTGTCAAAATGAACAAAACTTGTTACTATGTTTTAGTGCTTCTTAGTGCTTCAAATAGTTTCGAAAGTGCTTTTCTTATTTCTTAGATATTTTAGATTTTCACTTCAAGGTCAGCCCCCAAAAATTTTCCGAATTACCCAATTTTGGTGTCAGTTTTTAGTGCTTCGTTAGTGCTTCTCAGTGCTTCAAACAGTTGCATACGAAAATATTTCCTTTTTGAGATATTTAACTTTAAATTTTCAAGGTCAGCCCTCAAATTATATGGGATTGAGTCAAATCTAGAGTCGTTTTTTTGCGCATCGTTAGTGCTTTTTAGTGCTTTATATAGCTTTCTCAATGCGCTTTCCGTATTCTGATTATTTAGTATTTTTTATTTTAAAATTAGCTCCCAAACTTATTCCAAATGTACAAAAAACACAGGAAAGCCACAATAGCAAGGATGATACACCAAATCACCAGTTGTGACGTAGGCATGTCCTTTCTCGGATGGACGTAGGCCTTTTGCACTACAGGTTATGATTCCGCGGGCTTTGGCTTCATGCATACTTGGTTTTATTCACGGTTTAACTACATTAATAATTAACATTCTAAAACAACCCTTTATTTAGATCTCGCCGTTTTCATCTTCCTCTTTGCCTATTATATTGATCAATATTAAACAATATTTTTTTATCATAAATTTGAATTATTCTACCTCCAGTGCGTGAGTTTTCGGCGTAAATTGCCATAAGAAGCTCGATTTCTCTTTCGGAGCTCCCCTACTTATGTTGTCTTCAGTCAAAAGCTGTGCCAGAATATAACCCAGGGCTGGGATCACGACAAGTAGAATTCTACTAGAATTCTACTTTGATGACGTCAGGTTGCCTAGCAACTATCATCATCGCCTGTACTGTACGCGATAAATAGGTCGCGAGTGACGTCATGAAAGTAGAATTCTACTCGTCGTGACCCCAGCCCAGGAGTCGTATTATATATCGAATAGGACACAGGTATCAAATTTACTGATACTGACTTACTGATAGTTAAAAATATGCCATTTTCCAGCTTGTAGAGTGCGGTTCCTCGTTGGGCGCTATTTAATGACAGAGCCAATTCTGTTTAAAACAAAGGCGAGTTACCCCGGAGTGAGATACTCCGGTGCTAAAAAAGCGCCAGTCAAAACTGCGTCTGAACGAACGAAATAGCGCCAGCTAAAACAGTGACCAATTAAAATAGACCTTTCCAAAACAACTAATAACCATAAAAGAGAGAGATAGAGAGCGCACCGGCACCTTAGATTTCCTCCATACTATAAATCAATGTTGGCTCCAGTGGCGTCCGAGGTGGCGTCCCTGTGTTTTTTGTACATTTTGGAACAAGTTTGGGTGGTAATTTTAAAATAAAATCAGAATACGGAAAGAGCATTAAGAAAACTATCTGAAGCACTGAAAAGCACTAACGATGCGCAAAAAAACGACTCTAGATTTAATTCAATCCCATATAATTTGAGGGCTGACCTTGAAAATTTAAAGTTAAATATCTCGAAAAGGAAATATTCTCGAATGCAACTGTTTGAAGCACTGAGAAGCACTAACGAAGCACTAAAAACTGACACCAAAATTGGGTAATTCGGAAAATTTTTGGGGGCTGACCTTGAAGTGAAAATCTAAAATATCTAAGAAATAAGAAAAGCACTTTCGAAACTATTTGAAGCACTAACGAAGCACTAAAACATAGTAACAAATTTCGTTCATTTTGACAGATTGTCAGGGCTGACCTTGAAACTACAAAAAATCGATATACAGTAAACGAAAAAAGCACTAACGAAAATTTTCCAGAGCCAAAAGATATAGGATTTTCTTTATTATTTTTGCTTCTGCTTAAAATGGCCATTTGGAAAAGATGTCAGGATTGTTTTTCACTAATTTTGACCCACTCTATCGATCAGTAAACTCAAAATTGAGCAAAACTGAAAAATAAAAAATCGAGTTTTTTATAATAAAGCCTAGTAGCAGCGAAATTCGCACTTTTCTGACATTGCTTCGACAAATTGACGTTTTATGCGTGAATCAAAAGTCAAATTGTCGAAGCAATGTCAGAAAATTGCGAATTTCGCAGTTATGAGTACTAAATCTTGAAGCAGGGTTGCCAGATCTATGAAATGAAAAAGCGGGACTGTTCTCATCCAGAGGGAAGTCTCGATTTTTTTTCGGGTGTTACGCCCAAATGCATAAGGGGGACGGGGAGGGATAAACATCATTATCTATACGCTATATAGAGTGGCAAAAAAGTAGCGCATAATACCTATAACTTTTTGTATGAAAAAAGGTCCTAAAAAGCTAAAGGTTTGTATGCACTACTTTTTTGCCACTCTGTATAATATGTATAAGCAACTAAAAAATAACAACTTCACTCAATTTAAATTGTCATATTTTTGACATGATGATACTTTTCTTAAGATATCATCTTCGTCCCCACTTTTCAAAAATCTATACAACTCATTTTAAAATTGGATTTAATCATAAGCTCTGCCTCCAAAGTCTTATGGCCGTTTCCACCAAATATTTAAGGGAACATTTCTCCATGGAGAACTGTCAGTTTAGGAAATACTTATCGTTAAGGCTTCCCTAAAATAGTTAGTGAAAACGGCCATTAATGTCTAATTTATTTTTCTGTTCTTCCATGCGGTAGTCATAAGGCTAAAAATTCTCTCAGAAGACACATCTGAATGGGGAATTAATAAAATCGTATTACATAGCTTTTCAAAATTGTTTCTAACATGTAAAATCCTAATCATTCACTTTCGTCACTAGATATTTTATCACTAGTGACGAAAGTGACGTTTTCGGCTAAGGTAAAATATGACGAAAGTTGATTATTTCGTAACGGTCATAGAAAAAATGATTTTTGACAAAAGTTGTTTATTTTTCAGTGGCCAGAAAAAAAGTTTTTTGCAGATGCTAGTTTGTTTGTGCAATGAAAGATTTGGATTTTGTTGGGATTTTTGACATTTTTATACTTCAAAATACAACATTTATTATTAAAACCCAAGAATCGTTAACTAACAGGATTGCTCATCCTGAGAAGGCGTACATTCGCCGGTTCTCGAGTCCACAAGGTCTACGAGTGACGTCAGCACGTCAGCAGCTAATAGTGGTGACGTCACCCGTAGACCTCGATGAAATGCTTGCTATTCAGGCTCGTTATTTGATTTTTGCGTCGATTTTAAATGTAGAAATAGCTATTTTATGTAACAAGTTGTAAAATGAGCGTGTTTTTTGCACTAAATGTGAAGATTGGGCGGAAAAAGCGGAAAAACCGGGACAATTCACGTGAAAGCGGGACCTGAAAATAATAAAAAAAAGGCGGGACCGATCAACAAAATGCGGGACCAATGAACTATAACCAAAAACTAGAATGCTAACACATAAGGACGAACTTGAAGCCTAGTGCGGCTGCTGCGGAGGGGATACCTGTTTTTGTCGCACTCATTATGTTAAATGGCGAAAATGGAAGACACGTATTCCAAATATGACAAAACTTTCGAAAACGTCATATGTCAGCGAGCAACAGAAAAAACCCACATTCCCCCTTGTGGCATCTGTCTTTCATGGCTTCATTTTTTTGGCAGATATGGCAATGTGTGTGCATTCCAGTTTTTAGCTATAGTTTCATTGTGCGGGACTGTCCCTCCTAAGGTGGGACGTCTGGCAACCCTGTCTTAAAGCCTAGTACTCATAACAGCGAAATTGACCTTTTGTTTGGATGCCATATTGCGGTGCGCGAACATAGTTGCCAAAAAAAGAAAACAAAAATTACTAGCGGGCTGTCAACATTAAAAACAAAAGTAACTAAATGATTGATCCTCGCTATCCTTTTTGTTTGTTTACTCTCTCTCTCTCTCTGATTGATGCAGGTGTAGATATTCTATTATTTCTATTCTGCCCAATAGAAGCTAAAATTGATGGCTTTTCTTTTCAAAAACATTCGTAATAAGTGGCAAATTCAAATTTTAAATCTAATTTATTCAGTAATTTTTGTTTTTAATGTTGACAGTACGTTAGTTTTTGTTTTTTTTCTACTTCTGGCAACTATGTTCGCGCACCGCAATATGGCGTCCAAAAAAAAGGTCAATCGCTCTTTTTTGACAATAGAGAGTTCTCGAGCTTCAGACGTGACGCTAATACGGTACCGCTAACAATACATGGTATTTTATAGTTCTCGGACACGAAGACATGAAAATCCTCTAATCCCTTATTCTGTTTACATTTTGACAGCTGAGTTGAGTGATCTAACCCAACTTTTTTTTGCTTGTTTTCTTAACTTATTATTTATTCTGAAGATTCTGAGTTTGATTAATTTTCCCTTGGTGTTTTTCATGGAGGAATTATTGGAAATTGCTGTTTTGGCAGACGTTAATGAAGCATAAACTAATTTTGATATAGCATAGCGTTACGGTAACGGTAAGGCATTCGCTAAATCCCATTAGATAGCGAGCTCCGCTAACGTTAATACCGTTAGAACTGTCATACTTGTCAAATACTGTTACGGTATTTGAAATTTGGACAGCACGAAAACTCTCTATTGTTTCGACAATTTGACGTAGTAGGTAGGTAATAATACAGTGAGGTAATAAGTACCTACTCCCTTTGAATTCTAATTTCAAAATATTCAAACCTCAATTGCTCGGTAACCGTTGAGCAAATTGCATTGAAATTTACAGTATTTGTAGCTCTTATTAAGCTCTAAAAGACCTGTAATTTACAATATTCCCAGATTTTTATAACATAAGGGTAGCTACTTTGGTACTAAATTTTTTTTAATAATGAGATTTTGTGTTTAGATGATCGTTTGGGATCCCCCAAACTCCATACACGAAATTATTTTGAGATTTGAAGCTGGAATCTTTAAAAAAAGAGACTCAGAAAAATTGAAAAGTTGAAAATCCAGCCTCTATGCTGCGTTGCCAGATTGCCTTTTTCGTTGAAGGAACCTATATGTCAAACTGTCATCAATGGCCCCTAAAATGAACTAACCTCAAAAAAAATAAACATTGAAACATTCATGGAACTTTTATAGAGAAATGTATTAGTATAATGATTATTATAAATTAAAACCATCTAAAGAATAATCATCAGTGTGTTGAAATGTCTACGAAAAAATCCCATCCAAGTTTCAGTGATCTACAAACGGAATTTCTGGTAAAAATTAATGTTAGATATTTTCAACTAAACCCCTTATTTTAAATTTAAATTTAGGAAATACTCAAAGAAGCCTTCAAAGAAAACAATCTCGATTTGTTGGAGACTAAAATTTCGGCCTATAAACGTACAGATTTGGATACGAAAAGTCCTCTGGACCAAGCTTTCAAGCATTACTTACTCAACCTCCTCGAGGAAGAAGTGGATGTAAAAGTTTTAAACTCATACATAAATCTCTCAATAGAATGTTGCAGAAAGCATTTAACATCTCCTACAGTACCTGTTGTATTATTAAGTAAGAAAAATTATTACCTTTTAAACATTATTTTTATTCGAATAACTATTTAGGCGATATATTCAATACACTAACATTAGATGTATGCGAGAAAATGTTCAGTTTTGTTGAAGACAATGTACAAACATGGAAAGAAGACCTGTTTTTTGCTGCTTGCAAAAATCATTTGCTCCGCCTGTGCAATGATTTACTACGCAGACTGTCCAGGACAACAGCCACAGTGTTTTGTGGTAAAATTTTATTGTTCCTGGCCAAATTTTTCCCATTTTCTGAAAGATCAGGTCTAAATATTGTTAGCGAGTTCAACTTGCAAAATATTACTGAATATGGCATAGATGCAACAGATGATAATGCAACAGAAGTGGTTTCTGGTGATCAAAAATATGTCATTGATTATCCTTTTTATTGCAAATTTTGGCAGTTGCAAGATTTTTTTAGGAATCCCATCCAATGCTATGATAAAGTACAATGGAAAATGTTTTGTTCAGTAGGTCAATTTAGTTTATACATATTAATATTAGAATAATTTTTTTAAATTTCAGCATTCAACCACTATTCTAAATACGTTCCAAGGCATAAAATTAGATGATGTTTCATTAGCAAACCAGAGTTTCCATGGAACATATTTTGCTAAATATTTAACCAGTCAAAAATTGCTAGATCTTCAGCTTCAAGATGTCAGTTTTAGAAGATCTTTATTGTTGCAATTTTTAATTATTTTTCAATATTTTACATCCTCTGTTAAGTTCAAAAGTGACAGTCACGAATTAAAAGCAGACCAAAAAGAGTGGATTCAAACGAGCACTGAAAAAGTGTACAATTTGTTGAAAGAAACTCCACCAGATGGAGAAAATTTTGCCATCATTGTGCAGAATATTTTAAAAAGGGAAGAACTCTGGAACTCTTGGAAAAATGATGGCTGTCCCGAAATTAAAAAGTTCCTACCTCAACATGAACCAATTGAAATTCCCAAACGCAAAAAGCCTCAAATGTTACTTGGTGATATTATAAAAGAAGCCAACATGGAAAACAAATTCCATTTAGGAAACAGTGAATTGAATAAACTGTGGAATATATGCCCGAACAATTTAGAGGCTTGTAAAGACAGAGATTTTTTGCCATCTTTGCAAGAATATTTCCAAGATGCTATAACACAAGTGGAATCAGGCGTTGTGGTCAAAGATGATGAAAATCTTATGAAAGACAGTAATTTTGGTTGGAGAGCTCTTAGATTATTAGCCAAACGCAGTCCTTACTTCTTTTCAATTGCTGTACAAAACCACTCCCTTCCAAAATACTTGGAAATGATGGTACACAAAATGGTACATGAAAAGCCTGGCAAAAATGATGAAAACGGTCAAGATGCACAAACAGAGCAAGAAATAGAGGAAAATATTCTAACAGAACAAAACGAAGATTTCAGCAAGCAAAACGAAGAAGAAACAGAAGAGAATCAACCAAGAACTGAACACAAACAATTGAGTGAAGAGAGACTAAAAGTCATTATTGACACAATAACTCCAGAATGGGAAAAACTAGGCCTCAAGCTTGGCTACAAACCAGACGAATTGGAATGGTTCAGGAACGAACACCCTCTAAGATTCGATCAGGCCAAGCACATGATGCAGGTTTGGTTTGAAGATGATGAAGACGCCAACTTGGATAATCTTTTGTATATTTTGGAAGGGTTGGAAATGAATAAGGCTGCTGAGGTGGTTAGGAATGAGTTGAACAGTGTAATGGAAATAGGATAGGATTATATTGAGTTTGATTTAGTTTATAAGTTTTTTTTATTTTGGATCTTATATAAGTTTTTGATTCAATTCAATTAAAAATAGGTATAACAAAATTTGTTTCATTTGCCTTGAATCATTATAAAATCTTTTTTAAAATTTTCTGATCTAATATTAATCCTTGTTCCAGTTGCAATTTTAGTATTTCATTAGTTGAATATCTTCTTAAAGGAAACCATACTCTGTTTATGAAGCCAACCTGAAAAATCTGCTGTTATCTACTGACTCGTTAGATATGATTATTCTTAGTGCATGTTCACATTGACACCGCTCGAGCGGTGAGCGTTACACGATGCCGCTGTAGTGATGCCCAAAAATAATTTCAAGAATATATTTCAAATGAACATGTTCACACTGGAGCGGCGCGTCTCGCGGTGTTAACATGTTCATTGGAAATATAATGTTAAAATTATTTTTGGGCATCGCGCAAAGCTCACTGCTCGAGCGGTGTCAATGTGAACACGCACTTACAGGTGCGTCAGCTCGTGGCATAATATCATCCCTAGGAATTTCAATATCTCTCCTTCTGCCCCAAAAATCAACGTAGGCTATCCTTACTCTATCTGTTTCTTCGTTGTAATAGATAAAGCCTACAAATCTTGCTGCTACATAGCCCAAACTATATAAAGTAGCGCATCCTGCTAAACCTACAAAAGAAAATCATAAAATATTAGAACTTAATAAATTGACTTTATTCTCACCAATAACTGTGCTAGATATAACTACATTTCCAGATAAAATTCCACAAAAATAAAACAAACTAGTTCCTACTATGGTCAAACCAGTGAATAATGTTTGGTAAACTTTGAGCCTGTTTATGAGACCAAGGTATCTGATCTGAGGAAACTTGTATATGGTTTTAAAGCCCTTTGGAATTGGTCCAGTAACCTTTTGGACATTCAATAGAGAAATTAGGGATTCTTTTTCTGCTATAGTACTGTCCTCTGTTATATTTTTCGCTCGGTTTGCCTTTATTGAATCCAAAAAGGCTTTTCTTTTCTGGTCTTTTTCATCGTACAAATATGTTGAAGTTCTGAATGTTCGGAGAACGGATTTTTGGATGAGACTTCTTTGGTAAATACATTGGATGCATTTCAACAGCATTTTCAGCTTTGATTTGATTTTGTTTACTTTTTTAATCACATAACCACACTATTACACATTGGATGCGTTCGAAAAGTTGGTCGATGTTATAAATTTTTTATATATGTTACTAGTACGGTATGAGCTTCATTACAGTAACGAGTGGGGAATATTTGTCAAGACGAAGTGGTAGACCGAGTCGTAGTAACCACACGAGTGCTGTAATAAGCGTTACCGTACGTGTGATATACAACATTTTATGTACGACCCAGATAAATTAGAAATAGTTTTAATTTTTCACAAAATATTTATAATTTTTTCGAACAAATGAATTTTCAAGTGCCGTTTTTCAATAAAAATTAGTTATGTAATGAGTTCATTAAGTCACTAGTGATTTAATAGGAAATTACTAGTGATTTAATGAGCTCATTACATCACTAGTACGATAATACCCACTTATTACGTAACTCAAACAGGCTAAAATGAGTTACGTAATAAGCTCTTACAGTGTGGATCGTACATAAACAATAAACAAACACTTGTAGATTGTAGATTTCGAGGGAGTCGTTTCGGCTTTTCAGCCGCTCAGCACTGCTACCTTTGCAGATATTTTGTGCGTGACTCTACATCTTAATTTGTCTCCAGGAAGCGTAGACTTCTGCCGAAGGAAGCTATTAAACAAACACTTGTTCAAACTTATATTTCTTCTGGTTTCTCCATGAGATCCAATGTCTTACAACCTTCCAAGAACTTTTCTTCAACTGCATTTTCACATCTTTGACCTGTAGCTATTGTTTCAGAATAGACTTAAAGCCAGGTTACACGGTTCCAAGTGCACTTGGATGAGAACTTGGACCAAGTATAAGTTGACAGCATGTCTACTTACTTGGATGTTTAGAACCTATATAACTAAATTTGGATAAACAGTTCCAAATATCGTCCAATTGAGGCGGGAGCAGTGTCCAAGAGTACTTGGTCCAAGTACACTTGGGACCGTGTCAACCTGGTTTCCAAGTCAAGTTAGTTAGAGAGGTCCTAACATCCAATAAGTATGTAATGTAGTGTAGACTAGCTGGCCAACTAACTTGCACTAAGCACTTGGACCGTGTTAACGTGGACTTGACTATTAATGGAGCTAAGTAAGTCAGTACTCATTCGTGCCTCTAACATGGATGTACTATAGTTTTAGCTATATCTTTCTAATGGGCTTTAAACAGTTGTGGACTTCATGAGCTGTAGGTCCTTTTTGGCAAGGGAGAGAATGCCAGATATATTCCAGCGCATCATTGCCAGGAGTCTTGGAAGTGTTTGGAATTGTTGTATTTGGTGGAAGTATTTCTTCTCTCATCTGGAGACATCCATCATCAAGTCTATTCCATTTATTGGAATCGCCGAAGTACCTACATTTTGTATGAGTTGGAGCCAAAATTCTATACTGGGCAATGATATACCTATACAGGCACTGGCGCCGACTACATGGAGGCATCGGGGCAGATGCACCCATGAGCAACCTCTCATGGGTGCGGAGCACCCATGGGAGCTCTTTTGGAAAATGCGGAAGTACAAACGTGTTTAATGCTCATTCCGTTCCATCATGTGGTAATATCCACTATCATGTAATTTGAATTTACATAACTTTGTATAAGAATTATCGGGTGGTGTGTGTGTGGTATTCTGTCCATTTGTCCTTCCATTATTTGTGGTCAGTTCCATGCTCTATTACTTTATGTTGCTATCCTCCATCTCTATTCTTTGAAAGTAATCGGGACAGTCCGCTCCACAACCACAACAGGAAGTCTGGCGCTTGCGCCGTATGCCATATAAATTAGGCAATTCAATCCATCTGTCAAAAAGGAAAATTCAATGTGGCGTGGCGGCCAAGCAAGCTTGTTTTGAATATGTTTTTATGCGTATTTTAAATTATTTTGCATACAGTTTTGCTTACAACTTTGATTTTCATTATTTAATAAAATATTTGTTGAGTTGGTACCTAAACTATTAATTCGGACAGAAACTAGATATTTTTTGTTGTGTTTTTTGGCCCTTGTGTGGCTGCCACGCCATCTTGAATGTCACGTGGTTTGAATTGCCTAATTAGTTTTACGCGTGGGTAGGAATGGCAATGATATATCGATGTTTTGTTGAAATCAAAATATTATTCAAATATATCTATCTAAAGTCCGACAAATACCATTTTAAAGTCACGTGATACTGGTGGCAAAAAACGTATGTCCACTGATTATGTCGTTCATATCACCTACAAAATGCTACTGGTGATTAATTACCTACTATTGAATTTTAGGATATGTTCCCACTAGCATTTTACAAACACGTTTCTGAAGTAGTATTAAGCAATCAGAGGGCAATTTTAATACTTGCAATTGTTGCGAGACTCACTTTTGTCGTATCTGCTGTCTGTTGTAATACATTCTGAACTTAAACTGGGTACCCGTTTTCTATTTGCTTCTTTTCGAGTTGGAAAAAGGTTGATATAGTCAAAATTATTAACTGTGTTTGTTCATTGTATTTTGTAATATTTTCGAAAATAACTTTGACAAACTAATTGATGACAGTGACGGATTCTATTTCAGGTAAGAATTTTATGAAGAATAATTAGACAGCAATTTTTTTGTCAATTTTACTATCACCGCTGTTTGAGATGTATTCAACAAGGATAGAGAAAAATCACGTGACTTTAAAATGGTATTTGTTGGACTATACAGTCGTGACCACAAAAAGTGGGACACCCGACTGACAGGTCTGGTCATTTTTCGCTATTTTGGATAAATCACTCTCTTCTCTACAATGGATTTTTGTCAAATATGACAATCCCTGTCATTGCCGTAGTTATAGCTGGTAATGAGGCCGTTTCACAATAGAACAATAGGAAAAAACGGGTGTCCCACTTTTTGTGCTCACAACTGTATATATTTTTATCGATATTTTACATTCGATATATCGAAAAAAATATCGATATAATCTTTTCGATGTATCGGAAGTTTTATAATAGGCCTGTTCCTGCAGAAATAACAAACCAGTCAGAGCGAATTTTATTGGTTGAAAACAATCAGAAAACTAGTTTCAACCAATGAAATTCGATCTTACTGGTTTGTGATTTCTGCTGAAACAGACCTAATAATAGTTCATTAGTTGACAGTGACAGTCTGACAGTTGACAGAGGCGGCTAAAATGAAACAAAACCTCAGTTAGGGCGTGTGCATGATTAAGGAACGTTATTTTTTCAGGACCGTGCGGAGAAGTACTTTTCCGCAGGCATTTCAGGACATGGACTTAATATTGCATAATTACTTTACTTTTCCGCATTAGTGCCTAAATGCCAGCAGAAAATAGTATATTGTGCAACAAGTGTTGAAAATAGCACTTTTCACACGCGTTACACACTATACCTACTTTTTTTACGACTGTGAAATAACTATATTCACATTGAGATTTAATTTTTTTTGTTAAAATTTATTACATATTTAAGGCTATAATCAACGAACTATTTTGGTACATACGTTGAATGCACTCAGAGTTACTTGCAAAACAAAAATTCAGAAAAAGTGTCATTTTTATTACAGCGTGTGAGAAGTAATACTTTTCACACGCAAAAGCGTGTGAAAAGTACTTAAGCGTGTGAAAAGTATTTTTCGCTGTGCGGAATAATTGATTTTCTACGTAAGTTAGTAGTGCGTTTTTAATAGCTTTCTAGAGCAGTCGTAGAAAAAAGCACTTCTCGCACGCTCGTAGAAAAAAAATTTTCGCCTCCGGCGGCGCCTACAGCGAACCTTCACCCTCCCCCTATAAACAACTTTATGAAGTTATTCTGCACCCATGAGGACTTTCAAAAGTCGGCGCCTCTGTATACAGGGTGTCACGAAAGGTTTGTTACAAACTTCTAGGGATGGTAGATCTCGTAAAAATAAAACTTTTTTCTTAATAAACATGTGTCCGGAAATGCTTCGTTTTCCAGATATACAGGGTGGCCCAAATTTGAGCCTCATCATTGGGATCTTGGTAATCGTAAGAGATACGGGGTCGGTTAAATTATGGAAAAGTTGCGCAATTTTATGACCAATAGAATACCGTTTTGAAACTATAAAGATTCCGAATACTTCCGGAGATATTCGGAAAAAACCAAAATTTTGTAAAATCGTTTTTATTTTTTCCCGGGCTTATTTGAAAAGCAATTTTAAAATAAATGTCACTTCATCATTGTCACTTATTCTCCTTTAGAAGATGGTGCTACTAAATTTAAAATTCGACGTTTCGTCTTCAGGCGGCCATCCTCAACTTAGTTTTTTTAAATACGGACCTGGATTTTTTATTTGCGATTTTGTCATCTTTGCGCATCCTAAGACCGATACTGTTTATCGGTCTTAGGAGGTGATGATTTTAGAGGAACGAAACATTGGATTTTAAATTTAATACCGCCATCTTGTAGAGAAGAAAAAGTGACAATGGCAAATTAGTTTTCCACAATCTTTTTAAATAAAATCAGATACAAGATGGCAGTATTAAATTTGGAATCCGACGTTTTTCAAATACGGACCTGCTTTTTTACCGTGTTATTGAAAAATTATAAACAGTATCGGTTTTAGGATGCCCAAAGATGACAAAATCGCAAATAAAAAATCTAGGTTCGTATTTAAAAAAACGAAAGTTAAGGATGGCCGCCTGAAGACGAAACGTCGAATTTTAAATTTAGTACCACCATCTTCTAAAGGGGAAGAAGTGACAATGATGAAGTGACATTTATTTTAAAATTGCTTTTCAAATAAACTCGGGGAAAAAAAAAACGATTTTTCAAAATTTTGGTTTTTTCCGAATATCTCCGGAAGTATTCGGAATCTTTCTAGTTTCAAAACGGTATTCTATTGGTCATAAAATTGCGCAACTTTGCCATAGTTCAACCGACCCCGTATCTCTTACGGTTACCGAGATCCCAATGATGAGGCTCAAATTTGAGCCACCCTGTATATCTGGAAAACGAAGCATTTCCGGACACATGTTTATTAAGAAAAAAGTTTTATTTTTACGAGATCTACCATCCCTAGAAGTTTGTAACAAACCTTTCGTGACACCCTGTATAGAGGAGGCAACGCTACCTATGTAAAAGTTGTAGATTTTTTTGAACAGAGTTGCCGAACATTATGAGGAGTATGATTTTTCAAAATTTTTAGACATGTATCTTCTGCTCAGAGGTATGGAGATTTATATTAAATGTCAAAAGCCCAGGAAAGGACAGAGCTAATATTCAGATTATTAAACCAGAGCATTGAATAGATCATTACCAGTGCCGGCCCGAGGTTACTTTTAGGATGGAGCGACTTTGGCGCCCCTAATTAAGTAAATGCGAATCGTATACTCCTTCCACCGATCAGAGCTGTTCTAAGTACCAAGAAAAAGTACTTAAGTATCAAGTACAAGTTTCTTTTTTAATACGAATCAAGTACCAGTACAAGTATAATAACAAAAGGAAATAGGTACCCAAAATGTCAAGTAAATTGATTTGAATTGCCCAAATTCAAGTACAAGTACCAAATTCCACGAAAGTCAGAGTCAAGTTAGTATTCACTTAAACTTGCGTACTTGAAAATATGACATTCACGTAGAAATACTTCATAAAATAATTTAAGTATTTTTCTTTCAAGTATTGTTCGAATTAAAAACAAATTAAATTATTGCTATCGATAATCTTAAACGGATTGTGACCCAAAAATAAGTTTTAGAAAAAAAAAATCTAAGAACAAATTTTCAAACCGCACTAGATTACGAGTATTACGACCAACCGTTGCGAAGATACTGTGATATAAAATTCCTACTCCTAGCACTGTGACGTCATATGCACAAACTGAGTCCGACAGCCGGCGCTGACGCGCATTTGCTGATTTGCATATGTTAGCTCAGTTCCAACCGACAGGAGAACCGTTCCAGAACCAGTAATTTCCAGTTGTCTACCTATTTTTCAATATAAGTTGAACATTTATTCAACTTGACATAAATGAATAGACCTATCTATTTTTACCTGGTAAGCGCGCGCAACACGAGGCAATGTCTTTTTATTGGCTAGCTAATACAGGTGTGAGGTGATCGTTTTGCACGCTGGGCATCTCTTTATCCTTGTTCATTGCACGTGGTTGGACAAGAATAAATCTAAAGTTGATAGTCAACTTGACAAGTGTCATTCAAAAGTTGTTTGACATTTTCATTGACAAATACGTTGCACAACACGCGGTTTTTCTTCTTTCCTTTTTATCCTGTGCAAATAAGAAGGACGGATTGCTATACGTAAGTTTAACATAATTTGGTACGTTTTGTATCGTTTTTGCGTTCTCACACCTATTGCTGCGTCAGTTTAAATAGGTTTTTTGCAATTTTTGCGTGTATTTATGACGTCACACAATGAATAGACAAAATTTTATTTAGTCGTATCTGCCAAAATCAGGAATGAGGCAAAGAATGAGGCAAAAGCTATCAGGCTATGGCAAAGATATCACTAAGTGTGTCTGTCTGATTGTAAAACTCATAGCTCCGGTATTATAGGCTATTTCTATAGAAAATTTTAGTATGTTGAAGCTATAAGCTTCCTTTATAATTGAAAAAATATTTGGTTAATCCAAGCTTCCACAATTTTTAGAAAAAAAATCAGGAATGAGCCAATGAGGCCATCAGGCTCAGTGTGTCTATTTAATTGTAAAAATCATAGCTCCGTTATCCTGGACTATTTTTCAATGAAATTTCAATATGCTGAAACTAAAAGCTTCCTCAATAAGCCAAAAAATAGTTGGCTCCTCCAGGTTTCTCAGATTTCCAAGAAAAAAATCAGAAATCAAGCCATAGGCTGTAATGCAAAAATATTCAATGGGGCTTTCGGATTAAAAAAATCGTAACTCAGCTATCTTTGGTTTTCATCCAATCAAATTTTGGTATGTCAAAGCTAAAAGGCTCCTGGATACATACAAAAATTCTACATTTTCCAAAGTTTCCCAGATTTCCAGGAAAAAAATCAGAAATAAGTTGTAATGCAAAAATATCACTCAGTGAGGCTTTTGAATTAAAAAAAATCGCAACTCAGTCATCTTTGGTTTTTTCGACTCAAATTTTGGTACGTTTAAGCTGAAAGGCTCCTGGATATATGAAAAAATTCTACATGTCCCAAAGTATTCCAGATTTCCAGGGAAAAAATCAAAAATTGGGCCATAGGCTGTAATGCAAAAATATCGTTCAATGGGGCTTTCGGATTAAACAGATTTCAGAAACATATTTTTCTCTTTTTTTTTTTTCACCAAGGAACAAGTCGGAGGCGCCCTTCGAGGTCTGGCGCCTGGAGCGCTCGCTCCATTCGCCTTATGTTAAGGCCGGCCCTGATCATTACAAAGGTCTATTACAAGAAAATAGACCGGAATATATACTTATTAGTTTCTCCAAGACCTTGAAGTACATGGAGAAATAGTTTAGATATCTGAAGAAACAGTATAAAAGATTGTTAAGGATCTTAAGTCGGGTGAAGCTAGCGGCCCAGAAGGATATACCCCGAAATGCTGAAATGAATTATAAATAAATGCCTAAATGGACTAGCTGGATTGAAATAACTATTGGAGCAAATCAGTCACAAGCAGACTAAAGGGTATATATAGAATCCTGCGTGATCTCATTGAAGATTATAAAGAGAGAAAAGAAGAAAATCAGTGCAGCTTTAGAGCAAGGAGATCAAGTACAGACAACATATTTTGCCTAAAACAAGTCATGGAAAAAAAATCTGCTAGACGTTTGGAAACCCACCTCACATTTGTGGACCTACAAAAAGCATGATACAGTCCTAGTATCCCGACTATAGAAGGTATTAGAACAATCCAACATCAATCACACCTATATCAACGGCAGTTAAAGAACTATATAAAGACTCAAAATCAAGAATTAAGATAGGTAAAAAACTCACAGACACATTTATAGTGAATAAAGGACTACGTCAAGGATGTTGTATCTCTCCTACGCTATTTAAAATATACCTACATAGCAGTAGCACTGGAAAATTGAAAGAGGGAGATCCATGGAATGGGTATAGAAATAAATGATAGATGCTTGTTCATTCTTCAGCTTGCAGGTAATCAGGTCATAGTGGCCAGTGACAAAGAGGACATACAATATATGATTAGAAAGCTGGTAGAAGAGTACCAAGAATGGAGCCTGAGAGTTAATATGAATAATATAAAATATCTATGACACCCAGAACAGAAACTTGGAAGTGGACGATGATCAGGAAAGTCTGCAATGTCAAGAATATGAGTAGGTATCTAAGTATCACATTCGACAACACCGGAACAAACGTGAAAGAAATAGAAAAGCGAATAGTTAAAGCTAAAAAGGTAATGGGGTGCCTAAATGGAATCTCATGGAGCAAAGTAATAACAAAGAAGAGAAAATTCAATATATACGAGACAATGATAAAGAGCAGCCTTTTATGTGGAGCCGAGGCTTGGAGAATTACAGAGATAAAAAAAAGTAGAAATTTATGCTATTAGAAGATCCATGCGAATCTCACGAAAAGAGAGAATAGGAAATGACAATATAAAATAACAAATCAAATGGGAATAGAAGGCACGATAGTTCAGGACATTGAAAGGAAACAACCTCCCTGGTACGGACACGTAGAACGAATGCCAAATACCAGGGTGGCCCAGAAAAATGCTGCATTGGCAACCAATAGGTAGAAGAAAACGAGGAAGACCAAAACTGGAATGGCAGAAGACCATAGAAAAGTCCACGAGTGAGAGAAATCTTTCATCAGAGGATCGCAGCGATAGAAGAGGATGGAAATTAGGTTTCGGACAAATGTATAAAAAAATAAATCCATAATTTGAATTATTAGGACGAGACTAAAACAATTTGGACTAAAAGAAAAAAACATCATATTTAATAATTATTAATAATACTGCAATAAAAATTACAAAAAAAAACTATTTTGTGCGCAACAAAATGATTCACACAAAAAAATCTCCACGATTACTAATCTTTAGTAGATGGCCCAGCAGTCTCAGAAATTCTATCTTCACTGACCGCTCTTCTCATAGTACTAAAAAATATATACCAATAATTATATTTCCTTCTAATAAATATAAACCGAATCCTTACTGTGCGGAATCTTTGGATCGAGTCGGTAGCCTGATAGGAGGACTAGGAGGCAAAGGAGGCAGCTTCATCACAGATCCAGGCCGAGTTACCACGTGTCCCATCACTCTATCGACGTTGTTCGGATTTTTCGGTACTTCATCGCCTCCACTCTCTGAAGATGACGGAGGTGATACGCTCGGATCTGATGTCAATGATGGCTTAAACATTGGATCACTGTAACTAAGATTGATTTGATAATTATAATGACTTTAATTAATTAATCATTATGAGGAAAATTTACATTTTACTTATAGGTGGAAGTTTGTCAGGAGTAACACCTGCAGTGGACGGTGGTGGTTGAAAGTCTGTATAAGTAGCCGCATGGATTTCTTGCTGATACATTTGGTACAATTCTTGCAGATCGGGTGGCAACTTTATTTTAGTTTCTGTAACAAAAAAGAATTTTTGAAGCAAATAGAATCATTCTATAACTTTTTACCTTCAATTAGTTGCCTTTGTCTAGTGATAATTTCCTCGCACAATTGCCGTTGTCTATCGTATCTGATTATGAGCAAATCTCGACGTTTCAGTTCGTGCTGTCTCACCAGCCTTTCGGATTGTAAAGCCATTTTGTCGGCTTCCAGTTCGTGCACTCTACAAATTAGAGCCAAGATTTCACGTTCGTCGTCCGACGAGAGAAGAGATGGTAATTTCTACAAAAAGGACCTTTTAATATTATGTACAACGTATGAATATTGAAACGTACATCTTCAAGCCTAACTCCACGTTGCCTGCAAGCTTCCAGTTTCAATTCAATGTGAGTTCTCAACTCGGACCATCTGTCTTGTTCTCGTTCGATGTCAGCTAGCTCGCCCCAAGCTTGTTGTACTGTTACAATTATTATCAATGCAAATATAAGTGTATTAGAAAAATCTTCTTACCAGCTGATTCAGCTTCAGCTTCGTCAACATCGGAACCACCGCCATTACAATCTTCTTCATTACCAGCCGATCTGAATCTGTCTGCTGAGACTAATTTTCGTCTTCTGAATTAGACAACATATATAAAGTTAGTAGACTGTATACTATTACAATAACTTACCGGATGCTTTGCTGAGTCCTTGCCCTACTAACATTTATACTATTCTTATAAAGTTTATTATTTCTAGATTCCCAATGGGAAATTATCAAATGCTGTCTTTCAGCTTCCATTCCAAGCCCTAATGAAAGGAAAATTTAATCAAAACCATCAATCAAACCAAATGGTTCAACAGTTACCTAAAAGATGTGCATCAATCTCCATTAATTTCCTCCTAAGTTTCATTTGCGTTTTAAAGGTGTCAACAATTTGTTCCCTTAAATTACGCACTTCGTTGCTTCGCTCTTCGGCGTTCAATTTAATGTCGGCCGATCTTGGACGTTCTTCCTTCATTTTGCTTTGAAGCCTGGATATTTCAGATCGCAGCTCGTTTACCACGGTTTGATATTGCGTCACTTGATAAGAAACATCCAGAACATTTCTTTCAACTTTTGTTGATATATTGTTGGCTCTAAAAACAGTTTCCATCATATTAATGTTAAACCAAAAAAAATATCTTACCTATCAGCATATGTTAAAGTATTTCTGGATTCGTCTTTCTGATTAGCGGCTGGACTTACGTGAGCTATCATCACTGTTCTACAATTACCGCTCAGAGCGTCTTTGAGCAGTCTCGTTAATTTTGAGTCTCTGTAATTAACGTATCGGGCTCCTCCAGCTAAAGCGTTAATGCAATTTCCAAGTGCCAGTAACGATCTGAAATGGAGCAATGACAAACAGTAACTGGATAGAATCGATGTAATTTCTAGAATTAATTATTTACGATGGAGTAATTTAAGAAATTGATGTTGAAATTATTTATCTGGGTGTAGTGCATTGTTACCTATTTATATGAGCGCCTTCCTGCAATCGTTTGCCCCTATTTTTCGTTTTGTTCGCTCTCTCGGAACCAGCCAAATCGATCATGAAAAGTCTTCCTTGTTTTATACGCATTCTCAAATGGTCTTTTTTATTCACAGGAACTGTGTGCCTACAAAAGAATATTTCATTTTCTATTTGCAATATTGGATTCTTCTTCTAGTATACCTTACGGTAACGCTGAGGAGAGCATGGCTTCTAGAAGACGTTTGATTCATTGCTGTGGGTTCTATAGTCCTAGCTTTGTTGCCCTTTTCAAGCAATTGCATAATCTGGAAGAAAAATTATATCAAATTTGGGAAAAGTGACTTCTGTTTGATGCTTCATGAAATACATCTCTTCTGGACACTGTGTCAGATGATGTTACATATACTTTCCAGTTGTTATTTTATACATTATTAGATTCTGATAAGTTATTGAGATTTTTCTGGAAAAAAAATTGAAATAAGGATACCAATATACATATATTTAAATCAGAGTCAGCTAGCAAACATTCTGACCAAGGTTTTGCCAATAGGTAGATGACTTGCAAGAGTATTTAAAAATCCAATAAAGTTTCTCCTCTGATAGAACAAAATATGATTAAATCATTAATTCATTCAGATATTTAATATGAAATCGATATTCAATTATCTTGTTGTTGCCCCTCAAAAGATTGGACGTGCTTGACCTTACAAAGGTGCGTTTTTCAAATATTTACTCCACAAAGTATATGGGTGTCAAAGGTAATTAATGGAAAAACATGTTTTTTCATTTAATTATTCAGTAATCGAAAGTGCAATTCAATTGCCCCCCCTTTCCAGATCGATACTGGTATGTATAAACCATTAGCAAATAGATTGACAGTCGATGTTTGAATAATTTAAACTTCGAGGATGAAGTTTGACACGTTATTTGGATAATTCGGAGGCGCATTAGTTGGAATTAAAGTTGATTTGTTTTTGATGAGTATCACGAATAACCTCCTTTTTCATTAGTCAAATAGATTAGAAGTTACATTTAATTATTTGTCGCTTTAATCCATTGTCTTTGAAGGCAACACTAAACGAACAAGCAATTTAGGTAGGTACATGAAAAAGTAATTACATTTTTTTGTGTTTTTAGATAATAAATTTAATTAAACAGGTGTCATAGCTTTTCATATTATGAAGAAATTTGGAAATTCGAATAGATTCATTTTAAGATATGTTACTGTGCATGTGTGAACCATTTTTCAAGCCAAAAAATAGTTGATTTTTAGTAATTCATAATGTGGTGTCAAATCAAAATGAATAATTTAATCATTTTATCACGTGTTTGAAATAATTAAGGGTTTGGAATATCAATAAAAGTGAAATTATGCCTTCTTTATTCAGTAGAAAACGATGAATATACATTAAAGTGGGTACCTATAAAACAATTCTTTAAAGACAAACAAAGCTCAATTTTTTCTTATAAATATGGTAATATGTAACACTAATCGGTAGGCAATTTTTAAATTATTTAGGTACAAGTAAATTTCCTTTTTATCAAACTAAAACATGCAACATTGATTTAAACTCTTCCACGTGGTTGCATAATTTTATTATGTATTATGCACGATTTTTCTAATAGTTGGGCATGTTCCAATATTTCAATTATAGCGTTTTTGTTAAGTAAAAAAGGACCTCGCACACCTCTTATGAGATTTTGGGATTCGGTCAATTTTCCTGAAAATTTGATATGATGCTCCTCTCAACATTCTGATTAAAAGTGTTCATAGCCACAACTTGATCCTATGACTAGTTTTCGAGATACAGGTATTTTAATGTCCAAGAAATGCACAGATTTTATACAGTGACCGCCAAAAAGTTTGCAACAAATGGGAAAATATTTTATTATTAAGATATCAAAAAAAATGTTTCATGGGATCAATTCAGCATACCCATCAACAAAAAAAATCACTGTGACAGATGTCATGTGACCACAGTCATGGCGGCAAATTTGAAAAGTTCGCCTTAAATATGTGAAAAGTGGGGTTAGACGACCAGAAATCGAAAAATTGTAGAGAGAAAAGTGGTTCAGGATCCGATTTTACGTCCATGTGTCAATTTTTAAAAAGGTACAAGGATTTTTAATAAATATCAATTTTTTGGCCTGTTTTCTGATAATTTGAAAAATATCAAAAACTTTCCGTCTGGTTCACATAATTCAAAGTGAAACTAACAAAAAAAAATCCAGTGCAGTAATTCTGCTTAATTGTCCCGCGAAAAATTGTAAAAAACCAAAAATTAATTTTCAGACCACTCTGATCTTGTTGCAATGACCTACAGAAAACAAAAATTTGGAATAACAAATTTAGAATTATCATGAAATCTTTCTAAATGATCCAATACCTCTTTTCTTAATTTAATCAAGCCAATATATTTTTGTTCAATGTTTTCGATATTTTTCATATTACCAGAAGACAGGCCAAAAAATTAATATTTATTAAGAATCCTTGTACCTTTTTAAAAATTGACACATGGACGTAAAATTGGATCCTGAACAACTTTTCTCTCTACAATTTTTCGATTTCTGGTCGTCTAACCCCACTTTTCACATATTTAAGGCGAACTTTTTAAATTTTCCGCCATGACTGTGTGGTCACATGACATCTGTCACAGTGATTTTTTTTGTTGATGGGTATGCTGAATTGATCCCACGTAACATTTTTTTTGATATCTTAATAATAAAATATTTTCCCATTTATTGCAAACTTTTTGGCGGTCACTGTATACATTTACATCTACCTGTCACCTAATAATATACTAGGATTGACAGGTATCCCCACGCTCAGATGACAGGTAGATGTGAATGCAGATAAAATGTGTGCATTTCTTGGACATTGAACTACCTGTAACTCGAAAACTAGTTATAGGATCAAATTGTGGCTGTGAACACTTTTAACCAGAATGTTAAGAGGAGCATTATATCAAATTTTCAGAAAAAATTGACCGAATCCCAAAATCCCATAAGATGGTCCCCGCACCTTTAGAACATCTTTGCATGGAAATTTTCTCTATAATATTCAAATAACAGTCTTCATTTGATCTTCCTGTACCCTTTTTGAATTTCCTTTAAATAGCTACTTCCTCAGATTTTTCCGAATTTCCCTAAGGAATTTCCTCAAATTTCCCCCGATTTTCCTCAAAACTTCTTTTAAAAATTTGTAATGTATTTTTATCAAGTACCTAGGTAAGTACCTACTAAGGTAGCTACCTTATGATTTAGATTTTTAAAAACTTTGATGATCCATAACTTTTTTTCTGTTATGGAACGCTGAAATTTCCAGCGATTCTTAACCCAGTGGAGGACTACAATCCCTGAAAACTTCAGCTCATTTGAACTTAAAATTCCAGAAATAAAATCGCGTTATGCAATTTGGGGTAAACTTATCAATTTTTCAATTTTCTGAGTGCCTTTTTTCATAGATTTTGGCTTCAAATTTTTGGAATAATTTAGTGTATGGAGTTTGGGGGTCCCTAATGATCATTTAGACTCAAAATCTCAACATAAACTTTTTTTGAAATTTTATCATTTTAGTAGGTATTTTTATCAGGTCAATCAATCTCTCTCTGCAATAAAATGAGAAATTTGCAAAATAGTTAATGAATCACAATCCAGGATATTAAGTTCTTCTGAAGAGAAAACTGGAAAAAATTTACTCATGATCAAAAAGTCCTAAAAATCAGAACCATAGAAAATTTGCCATAAGTCAACTCACCATTCAAAATCGTAAAACCCCAATAGTTAAAGAAAAACCAGAAAATTCGCGAAGCAATAATTCAGAATTCAGGATTTCCAGATCATAACATTCTTCTTAGAGAAAAACAAGGAATTTGCCTTGCAGAGACTGGATTCAAACACGAAAAATATCAAATTATTTTAAAGAAAACAGCAGTAGGGATTTTTCTAGAGTCTGGTTAGAGAGAAACAACTATCTCGTTTGCATAAATATCTATTTCGCGTACTTCCACGATTTTTCTCCGAACTTTTTAGATGCGAACATCAAATACAGCTTTTGCAATGCCAGCCCCAAGCAGCGCTTTTACGTCCTAACAACGTCGTTATTGATGTCTTGACGTTGAGGTACGACGTTAAATAGACGACTATACAACCCTTATTTTCACCAAAATGGAGAATCATTTCATGGTTGTAACGACTTCGCAGGTCACGTGGCTTTACTTATTTTTAACCTATACGTCAGCATAGACAACCAGATTTGAACGTTTACTAAACGTCGTCAACCATGACTAACCTAAAAACCAATATCAAACCAAATAAAGGACGTTCCAGGTTTAATATATTGCACCGAATTCGCACTTTTGGTTTATTATTGGTGTTATTTTATTTTCCAACTCCTCACAATAATAACAAAATGAATTATTGGGGGACATAAAATGATAATGGCGCCTGGCCTTGTCAACAATAAAATATGTGAAACTAAATATTTAGCTCCTGTAGGTACAAACATTTCAAACGAAGGCAACTTTTCTGTCAAATATAATTATGATATCCACACAAAACAAACGGGCTCCTATTTTGTTAATATTTCCCAAAAAAAAAATAAAAGTCTGTAATTTACATAATTTTTTATATAGTTTCGATGGGTCAAAAACATCTTTGGGCAAGTCCGATTCACACAAAAAATAATAATTTTGACAACATTTCCTTATTAAGGATTGATTTTTCAGATATTATTTTATTTTTATTGAACGTCCAGTAATGGCGGATGATTAGATAGGACCTTGCGATATATAAAATGGTCGAGTTAATAATCTGAACCTTATCCTAACCTGATGCGTGTTTTCGTCTTGAAAATGGACCTAATCTATATAAACATAGGACCATAGGTCATAAAATAGTACAAACATATAAACCTAGATTGACTATAGGTCCCATATGGCAACCTATCGTAACCAGTTCTTTAGGTGCTTCAATGGCATGTAATATTGACAGTTGAGTTGAAGAGGGCGCTTCTGTGGTTGGAGCTCTTTAAATTTTGGCGCTAGAATAATCGAATGTAATTTTAACCTCAAAAGTCAAGTTTGATGTGTGGTTTCAAGACAAGCTTACGCTAACACTTTTGGAAATATTCTTTAAGGGCCACTGAACGTTTTGGGGGATATTTTTACTTATTCACTGTTCATATGTAGTCATATTTCCTTCTACTCATTAAAACGGTTTAAAACTATTGACATTAACAGCCAAAATTTGAAGCACTCCAAGTTCACTCGCGCCCTGTACAAAGTTTTGGGGAACTGAACTAGTTATTTGCTGCCATTAAAGCTCTCGTTTATTTGGAATTTTTCAGGAAACTGTAAATGTTTTATTTTTGATGTTGTTCAAAATCTTGAAATATTTCCTTTTAACCCGACATTTATTGAATCTTTTTTAATTTCCTATTTGGAAATTACAGGATTCTCTTCCAATTTCCCTTCTTGCTCCACTTCCTTCATGTTTGGAATACACTTCTTCCATTTTCACTAAATCTAAAAAAAATTCTTCTTCTGTAATATGTGGATGAGTTTTTGAAGCTCCTGTTTTGTCCCATATCATATCAAAAATATAAAAGAAAATACTTATTCAAATTGTTAAGAACTTTTTATAGTAACGCCATATCTATTGTTTGTTTATGTTTTTATTTGACTGATGACAGTTTATCAACGAACGACGCAAAAAGTATGAAATGCTACACCAAATTTTACCTGTGTCCTATTTTAACGTTGGCCGGACGTTTTTCTAAGACCTCTATCTGACCTTATGATTGGTCGTGTCAGACAACGTTTTTAAAACGTTTCAGTGGTCACAGGATATGAAGATAACAACTGATTGACGTCTTCAATGCAACGTTGAATTTGGTACAATATTATGACGTCCATTTCACGATTTTTATCTTACATTGTGATTGGTCGTATTAGACGACGTTTGAAAAACGTTTCAGAGGTCACATGTATACAAGAGGACGACGGATTGACGTTATCAATTTAACGTTAAAACTGGTTTTCATTTATTACGTCAAAAATTGAGCTAGATAAAGGTCCGATTTCTTGACCACATATTAGGGACGACGGCATGACGTAATTTTAACGAAAAATCATTGACGGACACCTATCTGCACTTCGGGCGACGTTGTATTTGGTTAATACGTAGTCGCAGGGACATGTATGTGATACTTGGGGCAATCCCATCAGATAAGTCTCCTAGGGCGCTAAGTCCAGCAAACAGAGGTATAAGTGGAATAATCCTTCCAATAAATATAAATTTGAGCTCACAATCTGTTTATTATTACCATTTAACATGAACCAATCTTTTGGTGTTTAAAACTACTTTTGTATAAACACACTTCCAAATTACTTACCTCATCCGTGCTAGTAGTTGAAATCTCAGTCAATCCAGCCACATGTATACTCCGGCCTCTGGAATCTTCTCGCAACTCCAAATAGCCCGAAGACGGATTGAGCAAGTCGCGTATATTTTCGTTGTACAGCTCCAAATAAGACATGGTGACCTGAGAAAATTTAAATTTTAAACAAGTTGACCTTAAAAAAACGATAAAAATCTAAGAAATTTGCATATTTAGGTAAAACGGTTTAAACTTCACCGCGAAACCAAAGATTAATTAGGAGTTTTTTTTTAGAAAAACTAATTACGGTTTTTTTGTCACACTGGATGGATTTATTATTTTGCCGATTGCAATCTGACAGTAGGTATATTGGAGTAAATAGCTTCCATTTTTTAAACAAGTGACTATCATTTCTCAATAAATTATGATCTGTTACGAGAACATGTCCTTCAAAAACTAAAGTGCCCATCAAAAAACCATAACGTCCAAAAAAAAAAAACAACCCTATTATAATGGCGCAAAATACCGTTTTCATTGAGCGTCAGACAATAACCGTCTGACACACTGAAGGGAAAATTGATGAAAGCCCACCTTTGTTATTACCATAAATCGATAAATTTATACTTACCGAATATTCCTCCTCTTTATCTTTGACAACTTCGAAGAGGTCGTTTAGGGCTCTAATCATTATGCCCGGATGATTTCTGTCGCCCACCATTGTGTGGGTTTTACCCGCTCCGGTGGGACCGTAAGCGAAAACAGTAGCATTGTACCTAAATAATTAAATGCTATATGAATTTGCTTACAAAGTTAAATAGCTTTACCCATTCAAAACATCTTTGACCAAGCTACTGGTAGTGACGTCATAGACGGTTTCCTGGTTGACAGTTTCACCGAAAACAACGTCGAAAGTGTATTGTCGTTCTATGCCTTTTTTCTGTCGGATGGAGTCACATTTGTCGAAATCTTCCAATATAATTTTCTGTAAATCAAAAAAATTTCCATTACATTATTCTAGAATCAGTTAGCTATAAGGTTTATTGTCTATTGAATATTTCATAAGTAGGTAGGTTTTACTAGAAACAGCCCTTTATGGTCAAATTTATATGTACCTATTGACACAACAAATTTAACATTTAAGTAAAGATCAAACTGACATCAAAAAAATAATAAACAAAGAGAAATAATGGTTGCGTGACTAGTGATGACTGAAAACCTAATTTATCGTTAAAAGGTAAGGCATGATCTGACCTGAATAAATACGACGTACAAATACAATAATTTCCCCCATTTGTGGGTGTCGTATACTCTTCAATTATTATGCCAATAATAATTAATAACCAGGAAGTAGAATAGTTTGAGAATACAAACATGTGTACTTCACATAATATAATATAATAAAACACAGTTCTTATTTAGGGGTACGAAAATTATAGTGGAACTCGATAAGAATCACTAGGGATTTGTTCAACAATTATTATTTTTTGATTGTAAGCATGCAAAGATAATACTTTAGGGTTTTTTTTGTAAATCTCTCTATAGAAAACTTTGAGTAAATCTTAGGATAGAAAGCTGAAATTTTCAGCGATCTTATCCCAATAGAGGACTACAATCCCTGAAAATTTCAGCTTATTTGGACTCATAGTTCCTGAGATAAAATCGTGTTAAGCAATTTGAGGTGATTTATCAAATTTTCAATTTTTCTGAGTGCCTTTTTTCATATAATCCGGTTCCAAATCTCAGAATAATTTAGTATTTGAAGTTTGGGGGATCCCAAAAGACCATTAGGACACAAAATCTCAACAAAAAAAAAATTGAAATTTCATTGTTTCCGTAAGAAGGTAGCTACTTTATGATTTAGATTTTGGGAAACTTTGAAAAGTCATAACTTTCTTTCTATTATAGATAGAAAGCTGAAACTTTCAGCGATTCCTATCCCAGTAGAGGACTACAATCTCTGAAAATTTCAGCTTATTTGGATTCATAGTTCCAATTCGGAGTGACTTATTAATTTTTCAATTTTTCTGAGTGCCTTTTTTCATAGAATCTGGTTCCAAAACTCAGAGTAATTTATTATATGGAGTTTGGGGAATCTCAAAGAACCATTAGGACATAAAATCTCAACAAAAAAAACAAATTGAAATTTCATCGTTTCAGTAAGAAGATAGCTATACCTTATGATTTAGATTTTGAAAAACTTTGATATAATAGGTCATAACTTTTTTTCTATTATTGTTAGGGAATATAATGATTTATTTCCTAAACGGTAGAGATAAGATTGTCCAGTTTGAAATGTAAGTACTTTCCACATTTATCTCCATTTTTAATCTAACTATTCCCAAGAGAAAAAAAGACAAAGTTTCCTTCTAGAGGTAGGTAATTTAACTTTAAGAAAGGATTGAGTTTCCTTATAATTAGTTACTGTCAATATTCAACAATTTATAGAAAGAAACACGCAATTATAAAAGCAAAATACTGTTTTGTGTGCATGCTAAACACTGATTTTGTTCATGGAAAAAAAAATACCCAATCTCTGACGTATTATGTTTTTAACTATTTTTAGTCGTAAAATAAAGTGAGGCGATTTTTCGAGGTGTGATTTGCATACAAACGGCCTTAACGTGTAAGATTTCGCTGCTTGATTGCTTATTTCCAGGTTGATTTTTCATTCATTTGCTGCATCTAAGATAACATTATACGTAGGTAAGTACTTTACTGCAATATGCTAGAGCAAGCTGCATTATTAAGGAAGGTTTGATGACGTTGAGAAATTATGTAAAAGGAAAATTTACTTGATTATACTTATATTACACAAAGTTGATTATATTAGCATAAATAATTGCTTTTGTAATGATTTTCCTCTTTCCTTAAGTCTGAGACATTAATTTGGAATTAAATTCCCAAGAAAATGGAGAAACTATCTCTATGAAATATTGAAATTTTACCTATGAAAGCCACGAGGAGCTCCTAGGAACTAATTACAAGAACACAATGCAAAAGAGAAGTGAATTATGAGATATTTCCAAGAGTATAGATAGCACAGGTCATCCCCAGGACTTTTTTTTTTAGATCCCTTGTAAGTTTTAACATCTCAGATTAAAAATCGAGATTCTGAGAACGTCCGCTAATGTCTAATCTAGAAATGTACCTTTTGCACATCCTAAGCATGACCGTTTCAGAGCCTATGTACATCCAAACGTTCTTGGAAATTCTTATTTGAATATCCCTGGGAGTTCTCTTTGAACATTCGTAGGAATTTTGTTTACGCAGCCCCAGGATTTCCTCCTGTAACGGCTTCTTTCCAGTGAAAGGTTTTGTTACCAAAATATATTCTGGGTATGTCCCAGGGAAGATCAAGGACTTTTAAAAGACATACTTAGGACTTACTAAATGTCCGATCTGGATATCCCTATGATTGCCCTTTGGATTAAAAAATGCCCCCGCGACATTCCAAATAGTAATGGATAACGAACTTTTAAGACTACAAACCAAACTATGAGGAAATTTTTAACTTTAACAATTTCTCCGCTGCTCTTTCCTCAAATATTCCGGCTATTTTAGCTCCAAGAGAGCATCTGACATTAAGACTTTTAACCTTTCTTTGTTTAATTTCATCTCCAAATGTCTTAGTATAGTGGTTAAAAATACCTACTAGCTGCAAAAACTTTGAATTTTTCTTTGTAGAGTTTTTTATTCTTAAAAGATGTCAAATAATATGATAAAGTTTTGGAAAATCAATTAAAATTTTCGCAAAACTCACGAGTGTCCTACTTACTTTTTCGTCAGCAGCATACAAAACCCTTTGAGACTCGTCCCGTTTCAACGGTCTCACCCTCACGGCCACCATCAGTCTTTCCTCGGCACACTTGATTGGCGGCCTCGAAGTGTCACTACCCGAAGAACTGGGTGTCTCTGGACTCATTTGGTTCAATTTGCCACAGAAATTTGCTCTAACACGACCGAGAAATGTAAACAAACTCTATATTCTGGCGCTCAATCGCGATGGTTTCGCGTCTATCGCTTCGAGTCTACTGCCAGAGCCTCTATAGAGTTTTTGCTTTTATTGGATAGGTGTATTTGTAACGCCGACTTTATTATAGAGGCTTGAGCAAATTGAGCTGGCTTAATCGGACTCGGAGTTTATATATAACAACAACAAAAAAAAGATAGTTTTATAGTTGATATAGTTTTAATAAATTTACATATTTTACTTCATATTAGATAAGTTACACTTAAAATAATTTCAAGAAAATCCCCTCAAGTTGCATATTCTTTTATATGTCCAAAATTTTTCGTTAACGTTTCATAAGTCAGAAACAAAAGGATATTCGCTGGAATAAGCCTTGAAGCGGACGCCGTAATTCCTTTGTAAAACGCCAACGGTCCTAAGAGTGCGGTAAACCTAAAATAAAAAAAAAATATTTAGGTTTTATCACTCCAAAATTCAAACACTTGCTTAATGCAATGAAGTACAGTAGGATATTCTCCGGGTTTTGAATTCATCAGCCTCGTTTTGATAACGTCTACTGGTTGCGTGAGAACCGTCGCTATTAAGCCCTGAAAACAATCAGGGAATATTTTCTATAGGGAATAATATAAAGGAATACGGATTTGTATGGGTATCTAATTGAAAATTCTTTTGATAAATTATATTTATTGCATACAAAACCTAATAAGAATTATTAATCTATTATTGTTCTCAAATAGGTATCTTTCAACAAAAATATCTTTTATTTTTTATTATAAAATTCAAGCAGATATAATTACAGATTCTGATTGAGAAATTGGAAAAATAAATATTTGCTCCCACTGAAATTCCTATACAAGATCTTGACATTTACAGATGGGATGAAAATGAAACAATTCTGTGCATCAATTAGTGCTACGCAATCTGTTTCGGTTCGATGCCCAGATGCAAACGCATCTGTTCCAAAAACACAAGAGTGCATATGGTTTGGGGCCCGAGCCGAACAAACGCTGGCACGTAGCCCTTGAAAAATCCCATGGGGAACAACTTGGATGTGTGCACGACGATGACTCAAAGGGACGAGTACTCGCCCGGTTTTGCGTTCATCGCGCGAGTTTTTAATACGTCCAAGGGCTGCGTTAAAGATGTTGCTATAGCACCCTGAATTCAGTATAGTTTAATTATTATTGATTATTTATATTGATTGTGTTCTTACCGCGGCCAGGCTGGATAAAAAGTGCGTCAACAGGTTGTCTTTAAACACTCCTGAGTTGATTAGAGACAGTTTAATTTGGTCGTAGAACGACAATTGGCCGACTGTCATGAAAATTGCTCTTGTTGTAGCTGTAGAGGCTCCGCTAAATAATCTTTTGGTGCCTTCTTCTTTATAGACACGCAATAGTCCGTCGATAGCGTGTTTGTAACTGAAAAGGAAATTATTTATAGCTTAAATCTTGGACGCAGTTTGTAGTGAGATTATTTATAAGGTTTTCAAAAGACCGCCAGTGTACTACCACTTATTCCAATTTTTGCTGGTCTTGGTGCTTTAGGGTCATTATCTGGAGGAGCGGCTGGTGTCGCCAAGACAGTCGTTGATGGAGGATGTAGCTTCGGGAGCAGACTAGCATAAAGTCAATGACAAAACTATTGATAACCCATTACCAAACATAACAGACATTCTAGATAGACTTGGAAGAAAAAAATTATTTTACTACTCTAGACTGAGCTTCCAGGATTTCACCAAATTGAAATGCATCCAAACTTGATAATCATAACAGCTATTGATGTAGAAAATCGATATTATAAATGCCGTTTGGATTGAAAAATGCCCCTGCGACATTTCAATTATTAATTCTTACTTCCTCCGTTTATCTTTTGGAAATTTCATGTCGTTTTGCATACGAACATTGACCATATCAGCAGGGGTACCAACGAACCCACCACAAGCACCTGCGCCTGCCGCTAGTCCCACTTTAGCTGCGAAAGTGTCAGGATTGTATTTTTGCTTTACAACTTCGTAAATACCGAAACGCGTCATGGAGTAGGTGAGTTGTCTAAGTAGGGAGGCTGATATGCCATTGTAGAGAGCGAAAACACCTAAAATAAAGCCAACTTATACTTATAGGATTTTCAATTAATAAGTACTTATTATTAATTACCTTCGGTTTTTATAATGTGCGCTGTTAATTTGCCGAGAGTTAATTTGCCCTCTTGCTGTGTTTGAAGTTGTACTTTTAACAAGTCCAAAGGATGAACTACACATGCCGCTACAGCTGATGACACGCCTCCAAAGTACCATCGAGGAAGTCTTTTTTGTTTCTGATCGGACATGATGCATTAATAAATTCTCTAAATAAAAATAAAATTTCTACGTAAACATCAATGTAATATTTTTGTTACATAGATGTTTGAAAATAACAGCCGGCGGTCATCATTCCAGACAGCACACAAAGTCTCAAAGACGTCTTTTTTTTAAGTCTGTATCACGTCTAAACGTCTGAAAACCAAAACAAGGCGTTGTTGTGAAGACATCCATAAGATGTCGTAAATTCACATCTTAAAGACAACTATTTGGAATGTAGTTTGTAGACATCTTATGGCCGTTTTGCACCGATCATTTAAGGGAAGTTTAACGTATATGAAAATTTGACTTCAAGCGTTGATTATCGTTAAGCCTTTCTTAAAATGGTTGATGCAAACGTCTGTGTGCTGTCTGGCTAAATATACCATTTCAATTTCGTTCATGTTATTAGTAAGATAACAGTACAGATTGTCGAGAAAAATACAATATTGTCTAAAATTTCATAATCTCTATTTACTATATAAAATCCGCGTCCGCTCAATTATACAGGGTGTCCGGAATAACTTGAAGTACATAGGGTAATTTAAATTACAGAATACATAGGCACTTTTTTCTTTTTTGGCTTGTATATCTGTTGCTATTGCGAGTTCAAAGAAGTTGATGACGGAGATTTATTTGAATGCGCAAATTTTTCCCCATGCGGTCCACCCTGTACTCTCAATGGTTTCCAAAAATCCCCATGTGCCTAACGTCAAGTTATTCCGGACACCCTGTAGAAGTAATTTTATACTTCATTAATATTTCTATTGTATGAGCTTAAAGTCAATTAAATAATTTAAGCGTGTGATGGCACTTTTCCGCACTAGAGCGGAAAAATAAAAACAATTTAAATTCGTATGTATACAGGGTGTCCAAAATACCATGGGCCACCATTGGTATATCAGACACGGTAAGAGATACAAGGGCAGTTAAATTAGAAAAAAGTTGCCATTTTGAAAGGGTATTTAAAATATATTTTTGTTGCCAAATTTTTATTAGTTTCCGAGATACAGGGTGATTTGTATAAAACACTTGGAACTGTTTTTTTTTTACAAATAAACCTGTACCTCGGAAACTAATAGAAATTTGACAACGAAAATATATTTCAAATACCCTTTGAAAATGGCAACTTATTTCTAATTTAACCGCCCTCGCATCTCTTACCGTTTCGGATATACCAATGGGGGCCCATGGTATTTTGGACACCCTGTATATACGTACAAATAATAATTTTTATCTCGTAAAAAAAAATGGTGTTCCTTACTCGTGCGGAAAAATGGCATTTTGCGTACTAGTTCCTCATTTAAATACAGTTGGCCAAACATAAAACTGGTACGCATTTTCCTATTGTGTTGTATTGTGTAAATCGGCCATTTTTATCACCTCAACAATAACAAAAAGAGTCAAGTCAGTGTCATATTTGAACCAATCATAACATAAAAACAGGTTTGACGTTGACAAAAACTGTCGGACCTAAGTTTTTCAGAACAGACTTTTTGTTGTTAAGCCTGACTCACACTAGGCAATTTTAAAAATATATATTGCCTGTACCAGTTTTATGTTTGGCCAAGTGTACATCTAAAAGAAAGCGCTACAAATTTGTGCTGTCATCGAGCGACAGATTTCAAACATCCTTACTCACATGCAATGTTGCCAAATAGGTTAATCTTTGATACAAATTAAAATATAAAAACCTACTTGAGTTATAATAAATAGTGTGATCAAATATTTATTAATCACTAATAATCAATAACGTAATTTATTTATTACTTAGGTTGATTCAATTACTTTGTAATATAAAAAAATAGTTATTTGGCAACGTTGCAATCAAAGGTCAATGTCACTGTGTCACAAACATTTTCTAGGTTAAGGTTATGTCAAATAATGTTTACCTTGAAACATGCGCGCTTCCAAAAATCCGAAACCAAATCTTTGATTTTCTTTTATTTATTGATTGGAAAAGGTTTTGCGATAAATTCGTCTGTATTTTGGTACAAAATAGTCCTAAATTGGTTAATTGATTTGGTGCTGACACTAAAAATTTTGAAAAACTGGTACATAGTTCATACCAAATTAAGTTTTAGTTATGACATCGATAACGTCATTTTTAAAATCGTTATGCCCTGCCATGAGAATATTCGGCGTCGGACTGACTCAATTGGAATTTGAATTTCCCGCTGGCTATTCATTTGGTAGCACTGCTCTAAAAAATATAACGTTGTCAAATTAATTTCTTGACATTTTGAATTTTGATTGATTGATTGCGCTCATGAGAACTCGCCCTTAACGTTATATATGACCAAAATCCTTTTCACGTGGCTCCGGTTTAAAACTAAACGGGTTACAAAACGGTAAGTAGCGGTATGTCAAATGATGACGTCATTGAAAACGCCACTTGGAAACACACAATTTTTTATTTAAGTTTACACCTGTAACAATTTTCCCGCTTTCCGCGTTGTTCACAAATTTCTTATTTTTTTATGTTCTAACCGTTAAACGTAACCATCACAGATTTAACTATATCGCGAAGCTGGTTAGAGAAATGACATACCGTTTCCTAACCCAAACCCGGTTACATAGTGACGTCATCGATACCACTCGAACAAACCGCAACATAGGTTTGTTAAACCGGAAGCACAACACGCGATCTTTCTCTTTCCCTTTTTATCCCGTGCAAATAAGAAGGACGGATTGCTCTACGTAAGTCTAACATGATTTGTACGTTTTGCCTCGTCTTGCGCAATGGCTCAATGAGCGTTCTGCGTCTTTTTTTATCTAATAGAGCTTTCGTATCATTACGTCTTTGTTTGGTAAAATAGATAAGTCTATTGCTAGTTTAGAAGTTTTATCATGGACAACAAAAATTAAATTGCTTTTATTATGGGAATTTTGATATTTTTATCTTTTGGCTTGAAATAGGTTTTCACGAATTTAGGACATGAGGTTTTGTTCCAAATCATTCTGAGAAATGAATAGTATATTCGTGAGGATGGACAATATAGTGGATTCTTTCAAGAAAAAAATATCAGATCGCAATTATGAACAATGCAAATCAACATTTTGGATGAACAAATTTGCTCTTATTGATTTGAAGATTATTCAGGATTTCAAAGGATATCACTTTCCAACTGTTCCTGAATAGTCCTGCAGAGTGCAGATAATTTTGTACACCTCCTTGGATCTGTTCATCTCAATGACATCTTAACACATATACAGTCCGTCGATTTTAATCTGATACTCCAAAGGAATGTGAGCTGGTGACTCCCTACGTTAGAATGACACCTGGCGTCATATCTGTTTTTGCCATATGCTTCACCCCCTCGCTCCTCATACGGAAAGTGTCAGATTAAAAACGACGCACAATAGTGTAATGACCCGGGAAAAATAGACCCGTGTGTCATCAAGTTAGTTGAAAGTTGAACTCATAAATCAAAACCCGGTTAAGTGTAAATACAAGGTTAGGTACCAAATTAGGCATTCCAACGACCTGTCAAAAAGTGCGTTGTGGCAGAAGTTCATTATCCCGTATATGAGAGTATGTAATTTAAAGCTTTTTAAAGTGCTTTTTGTGGTTGTTTTGTGAATGAACTCTGTTTATTTTTTTATTTTATTGACTTCATCAGTGTTTCTTCCAATTAAAAATGCCACAAAGTAGTTTCAACAAGGTAACAAGGATGATGTCAGGCTTTTTTCATTACCCTTTGTTTTAAAATTTTCCAATTAAAACGTGAAAATTTTTCACTACCACTGTTCCTGCATCTGAAATAAAGCCATTTTCGAAATATTCGTAAGAATCTAAGCTTTTGTAGGCCTTCATTTGCTCATTAATGTGAACTGTGGATCAAAATGTCATCTGGACATTTTTTTAAACTAACCGTTCTCGAAAAGTCTATTATAACAAAGTAAACTGTAATTAGCTTGAAAATATTCCAAATAAACTCAAGATAAACAAACAAACGTCAAATTTTCCACGGTCGCCATACTGAAAAATCACGTGGTTTGGAGAGCCTAATTAGGTCCCAAAATGACATACATTTCAAAAGATCGTATAATTTATTGCTGGCACGAGTTCGGCTTTTCCTTGAATAAGTGTCCATTTTTTCCCATTTCGTTCACCCCCCAATAATCATACAATTTCGACACAGATTTCGTCATCATCCGATGAGCAAGTTATATTTTTTGAAACAATATCTAGATCGACCAATAGTATTGAATTTATAGATGGTCAACGACCGTCCATATTGTTGATTGTGGTGGGTAAATAATAGTATAAAAGGGGCGAGTCTTAAATCAGTTTAAGTCCATAGTTTAGTCTTCAGTTCAGATCAGTTCCGCTTTAGAGTCTTGAGTCTAGTAAGTAGTTAGATTAATGAGTCAATCCGGATAAAATTCGCGAAGAGTATTTTTTATTTTGCTGCCTCGGAAAAACGCGTTAAATCGAACTTTGAAAAAGTAACGGAAAATTGTGAAAGAAAGAACATTTAAATTCGTTCAACATTATGTGCGAGCTCTAAATAATCAAAAGAAATTAGAATAAATAAGTGACTTTAAGGGCGATAATTTAAATGTAAGTATTCTAGTGACAAGTTTTATTTTGATTTTATCAAATGATTGAAATGACTATGAAGTGAATTGACTATTAAACTTTATTGCATAAATATTATTAACTTGAGTGGATTAATTGACTTTGAATATTTTTGTGCTTAGTACCTATATGATGAAGAGTTTGGATAATCGAACTGACCGTCTAGAAAATGATTAGTTAGATATTTTGGTTTCTAATTGAATAAATTTAGATAAAATGTTCATCGTTTTGATAGTATTTACTCTGGCTAAATACACGATTTTGAGTATAAGTATTGTACAAAATTTGGCAGTAGGCGATGAGTTCAGGGATTCTATATGCTTATAGGAAGTTATAATAATTAAACTAAATGATGGTTTATGTTTTTAGGTGTAAAATGTATTTAAGATATAAAAATATTGTACCTAACTTAGTAGGGCTATATGAAAGTGTTATTAAAGTATAAAGCTTTTTGATTGCATCATTTTCATATGGGCTGAAACGGTACTTCGTAATAGATTATTAAATAGGTAATTTGTTATGTTTGGGGTGTGATTGAAAGTTATATATATATATTTTTTTGTTAATCTGTTGATTTTTTTTTTGTTGAACTTTTTATTAATGTCTTAAGATTTTACACACTGTTGATTATTGTTTAGTTTTATATCCTTGGTACCAGTGTTAAAGCACTGATTGAAGGATTAGTTTATTTATTGTAATGCTATTATGAAGTAATAAAGAATTGGTTTAAAAAAAAATTGATTTACAAGCTCAGAGACAGTGTAGAGGTGGCTGTACGATTGCATCAATTTAGAATTGTTTATTTTTGTTTAGAAAGGTGTTGGATTAGGGTTTTAGAAAATTTGTACCATTGTTATAGGAAATGAAAATCTGTTTATTTCTTATTTATAAAGTATAATTATTATTAACGGATAACCATATAAATCAGTTGTTTCTGTAAATTGCAAATAGACCCGCCCCCACAATTTTATTTTTCAGTAGCTGCCCAAGGAAATAATTACCATCAAATACGACCGCTCGCAATTTACCATCTAACCTAAATAATAGAGTACCTACTTATGGCGCGGATGCTACAATAGAAACTTCATGTCATTCATAAACTGATGTTTCTGGTGATGACAAGACCCTCCATGGGAAGGTGAGATGTTCGAGGGGGACATGATGGGGGGGATGCATCAGAGGTGTAAATAAGTTCCGTCTTCTCCTCTGAACCTGTCATTCATTTGACCAAAATAATGAAGAAATGCGCTTAGGTGCAACTCATTCATCTATCTATCTGCCTATCTCTAACTCAGATGATATGATATAAGTACAATGGGCGCGTTGACATATCAATCTATTACAGCGCCTGTTTCACAAAACCAGCGTTGCCAGTCAAGATCCAATTTTTTGAAGCAATCATAACAGGATAAAATTCATAATTCATCTCTAGAGAAATCTGTGTCAATAATCTGTAATTGGAATTTTTTCCTGTACTTTGAAAAATATTGAATTTAGAATAGGAGTGGCATTGCAGTACAATATCAGAAAATAGTAACGTGAAAGCTTTGGAAGTGGGAGTTTTGCAAAGTTAGCTTCTTGGCTTAAATGAATCCCTTTGGATGGGCCCAGATTAGATTCTATAGCAATAGGAATCACCTATACAAGGCTTAAGACTGGTCAATATAAGACAAGCCAAATTGATTATAGCACCAAAATTGTGACATCATAGCTGGCGGCACATGATTTTATTGGATATATCAGATAAGTTAAACTTAAAATAATTTTTAAAAAATCCCTTCAAGTTCCATTTTCTTTTATATATCCAAAATTTTTTGTTAAAGTTTCAAAAACCAGAAACAAAATGATATTCAATGGAACAAGCCTTGAAGCGGACGCGGTAATTCCTTTATAAAATGCCAACGGTCCTAAGAGTGCGGTAAATCTAAAATAAAAAATTTCATTTAGGTTTTTTCACTCCAAGATTCAAACACTTGCTTGATACAATGAAGTACAGTGGGAAATTCTCCAGGTTTTGAATTCATCAGCCTTGTTTTGATAACGTCTACTGGTTGCGTGAGAGCCGTCGACATTAGGCCCTAAAAACAATTAGGGAATAATAATAGGGAGAGGAATATGAATTTGTATTGGGTACCTATCTTATTTTAATAAATATATTTATTGCAAACAAAACATAATAACATGTATCTTATTGTCAAATACCTTTAACAAAAATATTTTTTTATAGAATTCAATTGGATTTAGTAACATATTCCAATTGAAAAAGTAGAAATACTAATCACATTTACTATAATGTATCAAAAAACCAAATTAAAAAAAATAAATATTTGCTCCTACTGGAATTCCTAATATAAGATCTTGACATTTACAGTTGGAATGAAAATAAAAAACAATTCCGAGCATCAACTAATGCTGCGCAATCTGTTGCGGCTCGACACCCAGATGTAAACGCATCTGTTCCAAAAACACAAAAGTGCATATGGTTTGGGGCGCGAGCCGGACAAACGCTGGCACGTAGCCCTTGAAAAATCCCATGGGACCCAACTTGGATGTGTGCACGACGATGGCCCAAAGGGACGAGTACTCGCCCGGTTTTGCGTTCATCGCGCGAGTTTTTAGCACGTCCAAGGGCTGCGTTAGAGATGTGGCTATAGCACCCTGAATTCAGATAATTATGTATAGTTTAATTATTGATTATTTATATTGATTGGGTTCTTACCGCGGTCAGGCTGGCTAAAAAGTGCGTGATCAGGTTGTCTTTGAACACTCCTGAGTTGACTAGAAGTATTTTGACTTGATCGTAGAACGACAATTGGCCGATCGTCATGAAAATTGCTCTTGTTGTAGCTGTAGAAGCTCCGTTAAATAATCTTCTTACGCCTTCTTCTTTATAGACACGCCATAGTCCGTCGAAAATGTTTTTGTAACTGAAAAAATAATATTGTATAGCTACCTACATTGTCAGGAAATTAATTATAACTTAAATCTTTGATACAGTTTGTAGAGTTCAGAGACTTTCATAAACTAAATCAGAAATTATCATTTACGAATCAAGCAGACCAAAGACGTAAGGTATATTCATGAACGAGAAGTGAATAAACAAATTCAAAAAATGTTAGAATTAAGAAAACATTACAACATGATCTCCTTACAGAAATCATGGTCATCAAATTAGATGCTTCACGCGTTCAAAAATGGAGAATAGTAATAGTAGACTATCGTAAAGTAAATGAAAAAACTACTGACTATAGATACCTATTATACCAAACATAACAGACATTCTAGCGACAGACTTGGGAGGAAAAATTATTTTACTACTCTAGACTCATTAGCATCTGGAAGTTGAAATGTATCCTAAGTCGATATGCAAAAGAGCTTTAATGACATTATAAATGCCCTTTGGATTGAAAAATGCTCCTGAGACATTTCAAAGAGTAATGGATTACATAATATACTGATAGGTCTACAAAACAAAATATGTCTAGTATAACTTGATAGAATTAATTCTTACTTCCTCCGTTTATCTTTTGGCAATTTACTGTCGTTTTGCATACGAACATTGACCATATCAGCAGGGGTACCAACTAACCCACCACAAGCACCTGCGCCTACTGCTATCGCTACTTTAGCTCCGAAAGTGTCCGGATTGTATTTTTGCTTTAGAACTTCGTAAATACCGAAACGCGTCGTGGAGTAGGTGAGTTGTCTTGTTAGAGAGGCTGAGAGACCATTGTAGAGAGCGAAAACACCTAAAATTAAGTCAATTATACATATAGGAATTTCAATTAATAGGTATTATTAATTACCTTCGGTTTTTATAATGTGCACTGTTAATTTGCCGAGACTCAATTTGCCCTCTTGCTGTGTTTGAAGTTGTACTTTTAACAGGTCCAAAGGATGAGTTACACATGCGGCTAAAGCTGACGAGATGCCTCCAAAGTACCATCGAGGAAGTCTTTTTTGTTTCTGATCTGGCATAATGTATTATTTTTTTATTTCTGAAAATTCAAAAATAAAATTTCTACGTAAACATCGATGTAATAATTAGATTCACGAAATAATTTATTTTTAGCTATCGACGATTGAAAATTTAGTGGCAACTCGAACGTGGAAAAAAAAACGAGCTGATTATTACAGTGATTTAACTGATTATGGCACCTTTAAACAAAATTGAGAGTTTTCTTATTTGAGATAAGAAAACGTTAGATATTTAATTAAACTTTTAAGGATCATTGTTTGTTTTTGGTAATAGTTATTAACTTTATAAGACCGATAAATAGATGTTTGAAAATAACGGTAGGCGGTGGTTAATGGTTTCCAAAATCCTCAAGTTATTTCGGACACCCTGTATACGCGTAGGAGCAATTTTATACTTAATTAATATTTCTATATTGTTTGAGCTCGAAATCAATTAAATAATTAAACGTGAAACCCTACTACTATTTAAAATCATAAAAGTACAACTTTGCCGCACTAGAGTGAAAAAGTAGAAATATCCTTAATTTGTAAATATATTGTCAACACCGAGCCTGCTTGGGAAAATAACACACTTTATACAGGGTGATTCATTAAGAATGGCACTCGGCCATATCTCAAAAACTATTCATCGTAGTCTTGTCGGAAAAAAAAAGTGCAGAACTCGGACAGCACGAGTTTTACCAACAGAAAACGCTATTAGGTTCGTTGGAAAGACAAGAGTCTGTTCTTTAATTTTGTTGTGAAAATTTCAAATTCTGGTTAGTAAAGGACTGACGCTATGGGTCAATATTTGAAAACAATTGAATGTTTCCAATTTTTCTTAAAATTTTCAAATGGAACAGTATATTTAAGATATGGTAAATCGATTTTTGACATAGTGTTTCTTTATTATACCTTCCTACAAACAAATTCCAGAGAGTGTTGAAATTAATTTTATTAAAAATAATCAATATTTATGAAAAAGCCCTCGTAAATTGAGCAGATACCAGTTAAGTATGTCAGGCTGACACATTTTTGAAACTTCAAACGCTATTTTCTAAAGTCAAAATGCATTGCCCAAATGGAGGAGCACAGGGCTGCGTTCATGAATGGCTACAGCCAAGCCAAAATTGGCATTTTGCGTTCGAGTTCGGCTCCAACCTACCTGGTTCGGCATTACAGGTGGAGGGGGAAAAGTAGGTTTTGGCATTAGCATTGCCGTCCTTGAACGCACCCCAGGACATCCTTAGCCGCTTTCCAGTATGCACATTGGCGCGCTCTAGAGCACCTCGGGGGCGCCACGCACTAGATTTGTACCGTTCCAGTATCATGGCGTGAGACGCCTGTCTTAGTGTCAAATATGTCAAATTTTAAAAATAATTATCTGTTTGTTTGTGCAGTTTGTTTTTTTATTTATCAAAAATGAAAGAGAATCAAAACTATATTTTTTAAAATGTTCAATCTTGAGATATAACAAGAAATAAATAGATAAATAGCCACCTACGGATGTGACAGCTGATAGGTTGACGCGTACGTACAGCTCGGGGGCTCCACGCCCCGAGTAGCTCCGGGCGTCACACTCCCATACTGGAAAGCGGCTCTTGAGGTTCTGCATTAGAGGTGCAGAACTATCGATAGGTGGCACCATCGATAGTAATCGATAGTCAAGGCTCGATATTTATCGATAGTATTCGATAGTTTTACAAAATCAGATTATTTCAATATTATACTTATTAAATGTGCGTGGCCGCAAAAAAATTAAAATATATGATATTCCTATTCATTAACTACTGAAGTAAACATGAAAAATAGAAACATTAAGGGCCAGTTTCTCAATAGTTGTATTCCTTTCAAAAGTTTGAAACACTCGAGCTACTCACTCCGGTGTTGAGTAGCCCCCGATTTGCAGGGAACAAATGCGGGGTGCAACAAACACCTTTCGAAAGGAATAAGCGCGTGAAGCCCCGGAGCTCCTCCTAGGTGTGAAAGGAATACAACTTATAGCAAGTCACCCCCGGGCACCGGGTTAAGCATAACTCCAGGGTAAAAATTGCGACTGGACACACGTTTACCCAGGAGTTAAAACCAACTCGGGAGTTACAATTTTGATCAAAATAAATGAAACTGTGCAGTGCGCACTACCTTTGTGACGCACTCGCACTGTAGATTGTAGATTGTAGATTGCGGGGGAGTTGTTTCGGCTTTTCAGCCGCTCAGCACTGCTACCTTTGCAGATATTTTGTACATGACTCTACATCTCAAATTGTCTCCAGGAAGCGTAGACTTCTGTCGAAGGAAGCTATTTTCCTGGGACGCACTCGCATTACTCGAATACGAGACTAAAAGCGTTTTCTATTAGCAGAACCAGTGCATAAAATTATTGTTTTATTTTTTCTGTCCTTTCCTTTTACATGCTGGCTGAAACAAACACAAACAAATACACTCATTACGCACTGAGAGCCATTGGATTTACTAATAGAATTCGCTAAAAGCTGCTATCGAAAACTATCGATAGTCGGTAGGAATAATCGATAGCGCTTCGATAGTGGATACTATCGATAGTGTTCGATAGTACAATCGATAGTTATCTACCACTATTCTGCATGAATTTAATAGAAATGCAGCAATCGCAGCCACTGGAATCTAATTATTTTGAAAATGGACAATGGTTATAAAAAAAATAATAGAGAATTTATGCGGAAATGACATCTAGATTTTAATTTCCAAAATTCCACTTGAGTAGTTTACTATTCTCAAAATAAATATGTATTTCTTTTTCAAGTTTTATATCCTACAACATGCTCCTCTATTAATGGCTATCATTATATGATCATTGCATATTATAGTTACTATTATAATTTCCTAACGCACTTTTTCCCTTATTTGACATTCATCAATGATGGCCGAGTTCGTTTTTGTCATCTTTTTTGTCGATTTGCTCCGAAATTTTGACAGGCACGTGACTGGATAAGACAGTTTCAATTTACAAATCACGTGCCTGTCAAAATTTCAGAGCAAATCGACGAAAAAGATGACAAAAACGAACTCGGCCGATGACAATCCACTGTCAGCAAAGCGAAGTCATTATTTACGAGGGCTTTTTCATAAATATTGATTATTTTTGATAAAATTAAATTTAACACTCTCTGGAATTCGTTTGTAGGAAGGTATAATGAAGAAAAACTGTGTAAAACATCCTCATATCTTAAATATATCGTTTAATTTGAAAATTTCAAGAAAAATTAGAAAAATTCAATTGTTTTCAAATATCCACCCATAGAGTCAGTCCAACTAATTGAAGTTGGAATTTTTGACAACAAAATTAAAGAACAGACTCTTGTCTTTCCAACGAACCTAAGATTGACCCAATTCGTTGAGTCGCTTTGAAGCTACCTATTCGTGTTCTTAAGTTGCAATATTTGACAGCTCATAACTATCTTATCCGATAAGTTATGGTAAGAAGTCATGAATCAAAATTGTGGGAAACTTCATCAAAAATCTATTGCTAGCATTTTTGAGATGACGTTTCCATTCGAAATTTGAAAAATAAAACCATTTTTGTACTTTGACAGTTGGGTTACGCCCCCTTACGGTCATTTTAGAAAGCTGTAATATATTTCCAGCATTTTCTCTTGGCCATATTTATGGGATAATTTTTTTTTCCGACATCACTACGATGAATAGTTTTTGAGCTATGGCCGAGTGCCTTTCCTAATGAATCACCCTGTACATGATTTCAATCATGAGTTTGTTAAGATGAATCGACAAAACACAAATCATAATTAATCTGGTTAATTGTGCTGAGATGAGACCAGCAATAAACGGATATAAATTGTGCTGCGAGCCGCAACAAAGGCCAAACTTGCACCAGTGCAACTACCTCTCGTTGGGAAAGCCCCTCTGGGTATCTTCAGCCCTATCGTTGTCCAGCGCCGGTACCTCTCGTTGGGAAAACTCCTCTGGACAAGGCATAAGGGTGACGATAACTAACCGAAAGTCCCCCAAGCAGCGTTGACGTGTGACTCCCTATAAGCAGTCAAGGACTAAGGACCCCAGTGTTGGCAGGGTCATGCACAGTGTTGCCAAAGCTACCCCGTTCGGGGTAGATCTACCCCTTTCGAAAACAATCTCGCCCTGCTGCTCCCCTCGACCAAATCTACCCCGCTCTCAATACAATGCTTTAACACAAAAAGAATGCCTATTGTTAATAAAAAATACTTACAAAATCAAAATTATGAGAAATAATTCATTTATTTGAACTGTATGCGAGTTTTTTTGTCCACGCCTATGATACATCATCATTTACAGATTTCTCCAGCATTAGCGCCAGCATAGTACTCCTAACAAAAAAATGTACCTATATTCTTTATTTTGCGTTTTTTGGAATTTTTTCAGTGTCTCCTTTGAATTTTAGGGGGTCCCTTGTGCCTTCAAGCAGAAAATTATGTAAAAAAATTATATTTATTCACCTAACAAATGCGGAAAGTGATAGGTACTTCACGCATGTGTTAGGTACAAAATTTCACCTATATCCTATATTATTAGCATAACTTTTGTCTACTTTATCGCACACTCTGCGGTAAAGTACTACTTTTCGCACGCTCGTAGGTAAAATTTTTATTTCTACCTCGCACCGGTTCTATTCTACCCCGCTATCTTGCCGTAATCTGCCCCAATAAAGAAAGAGCTTGTGGCAACACTGGTCATGCATCCTATAGGACTAGCATATATGTAAGGACATATTTGGGAAAATATATATCCACACTTTTATACAACTTTAGCGAGTTTCTCTCTATCAACCCCCAAAGCTACGGAGCTCCGCCCCTCATGTCAACCCCGTAAAGCGGGCAGTTGTGACAATATTGGCAGAAATATTAACTTTCATCTCGTAGAAAAAATAGTGTTCAGAGTTCCTTTTTCGTGCGGAAAAGTGGCACTTTGCGCACTCGTTAGATTGTTAGGAAGCCTCATTTAAATACTTCCAAAAGAACAAGTGCTGCCATCTAGCGACAATTTTCAAATATCCTTACTCACATGCAATGCTGTCAAATTAGTTTATCATCCATACAAATTTAAATATAAAAACCTACTTAAGTCGTAGCAACTATTTTAATTAAATACATATTAATTAATACTCATTAATAACGTAATTTATAATATCAGTTATATTTGATTCATTTCAATTACTAGTAATATAAAAACAAAAAATAATTTGGCAACGTTGTAATCAAAAGGGTCAATGTCACTGTGTCACAAACATTTTCGAGGTTATGTCACCAAAAAAATCAAAAAATAACAAAAACGTGTTTTTTACAAAAACTATGGAAAATTCCTGGATGACTTACCGAAAATTGTAAAATTTCCTTCGTTTGGCACCGAAAATTGGCAGGTAATTTCACTAACAACTAACCTCCCTCCTCTTTTCTCTGAAAAACAACAGTCGAATGTTATGTAAAATGTACAGTCATTGTATTTGTATTGAACCAAATTGAAATTCGATGTTTCCTTGATAAGTAGAGGACGATATTCGCTAATTAATCTATTCAAGGTTATAACGAACTTTCTGATTTTTGAGCTAAACTAGTTCAACTATTGTTTACCCCGAAATATGCGCGCTTTTCGGACATCAAGTCTTATTGATTTTCTTCAATTTTGATTGATTTAGAAAGGTTTTCGGATTCGTTTTAGTAAAAAGTAAAAAAATTGGTTAATTGATTTGATGCTGACATAATTTTTGAAAAACTGGTACATACCTAATTATTATGTAATTTTGACTAATGACATTCACCCTATTTACTCTCTTTTAATGGTAAATTCATTTTTAATTGCCAGTTTTATCATAAACAACGAAAATTTAATTGCTTTTATTGTTTAAATGGGATGTTTATTTTGTGGCCTAAAATAGCTTTTAGTCTAGTTAGGAAATAATAGATTTTGTTTTGGAATTCAAATCATTCTGAGTGGACAATATAATATTTGGTGCATTCTCCTGACAAAAACATGCAAGATCCCAATTATGAACAATGCAAATCAACATTTTGGATGAACAAATTTGCTCAGGGTTGATTTGGAGATTATTCAGAATTCCATCCCTTTTCATCTGTCTCTGTCTAACTGAATAGTCCTGCAGATGATTTAGTACACCTCCTAACTGGATCTGTTCATCTCAATGACATCTTGATACATATAGACACCTTATCTCATTCATAAACTGTAGTTTGTTGTGATGATAAGACTTCCCATGGGTCAGAGGAGGTGAACTGCTCGAGGAGGGTCATGGTGGGGATGCATCAGAGGTGTAAACAGCCCTCTGAACCCTTCATTCATTTGACCAAAATAATGAAGATATGCACTTGGGTACAACTCATTTATTTATCTATCTGCCTCTAACCAAGGCCTCTAACTCTTATGATATAAGTTCAATAAGCGCCAATCTATTACAACGCCTACCTATTTTAAAAAACCAGCATTACCAGTACCAGTAATCGTTGTTAGTCTCCAATTTTTTGAAGCAAAGTCATAACAGGATAAAATATCAATCCATAACAATTTGGCAACCTACTTGGAGGGGATACACCAGAGGTGAATCTCTCTACTAGATGTTGCCAACACAAAATTTTGTTTACTGTAATGTCTCCCTCATAGAGAAGTCTCCTCTCCTCTAATCCTCTTTCAGATGAAACACAATTCATTAAAATTGGTCCAAACGTTCCAGGGTTATGGCCTATTTAATGGGGCCATGTCAAGTTGGGAAATTCAAAATACAGTTTTGGAATTTTCTTCTGGAATTTTTTCCGGGGTTAGGAAGCCTCAAACGAGAAAATGTCAAGAAGTATTTTCTGTTTAATTTGACCCCCTCTAATCAAAAATAAAAAATAGTTTTGGGACTTTTTGGGATCCCCTCTACAAAATGGCTATCTTGAAATTTTCTAAGTGCCCTTTTTTCATAGAATCCGGCTCCAAATCTGGGAATAATTTAGTGTATGGAGTTTGGTGGATTCCGCTGGACCATGAGGACACAAAATCTCAACAAAAAAAAAATTGAAATTTCATCGTTTTTGTGAGAAGGTAGCTAGCTACCTTATGATTTAGATTCTGGAAAACTTTGAAAGGACATAATTTTTTCTCTATTATAGATAGAAAGCTGAAATTTTCAGCGATTCTTACCCCAGTAGAGCATTACAATTCCTGAAAATTTCAGCTCATTTGGACTTATAGTTTCCAAGATAAAATTGTGTTAAGCAATTTGGGGTGATTTATCAATTTTTCAACTTTTCTGAGTGCCTTTTTTCATAAATTTCGGCTTCAAATCTAAGAATAATTTAGTCCATGGAGTTTGTGGGATCCCAAATGACCATTAGGACACAAAATCTCAATAAAAAAAAATTGAAATTTCATTGTTTTAGTAAGAGAGTAGCTATTTACCTTATGATTTAGATTTTTGAAAACTTTGGAAGGTCATAACTTTTTTTCTATTAAAGATATAAAGCTGAAATTTTTAGCGATTCCTATTCCAGTAGAGGACTACAATCCCTGAAAATTTCAACTCATTTGGACCTATAATTCCTGAGATAAAAACGTGTTAAGCAATTTGGGGTGATTTATCAATTTTTCTGAGTGCCTTTTTTCATAGAATCTGGCACCAAATCTGAAAATAATTTAGTGAATGAAGTTTGGGGGATCCCAAAGGACGATTTCGATACAAAATCTCAACAAAAAAAAAAATTGAAATTTCATCGTTTTAGTAAGAAGGTAGCTAAGTACCTTATGATTTAGTATGGAAAACTTTGCAAGGTCATAGCTTTTTTTCTATTATATATAGAAAGCTGAAATTTTCAGCGATTCTTACTCCAGTACCAGTAGAGGACTACAAACAACCAGCACAAAATTTTATTTACTGTAATGTCTCTCTCATACATAGAGAAGTCTATCTGTGTTAATATGTCATTTGGAAATACACACTATTTTATTTCACTCATGTACATAGATCATAGTATCATTTATATATAAAATATATCATTTTATAACTATCATAGCTCAAAATTTATCTACTTTCAGTTCAAGGAAATCATGGTAGATCCAAGGAAAGTAAACCAAGTCCTAGCAGCCCTGAAAATCAATCCAGAAGACCAAATAATTTTCATCAAAGAAAACTCTTTCGCTGATTCGAATTTTGTCATCACTCATTTATTCAAACAATTAGTTTATGACAAAAGTAACATTTGCTTTTTAACTTTGCACAATACATTTGACCATTACCAGAATGTTGGTAAGAAGCTGGGATATGATTTGAAACAAGTTGTAGAAAAGGGGCAACTGAAGATTATTGATCCGCTTAAAGAGCTTGTAGATGCAATTGACTTGGAGGTGAGTTTTGTTTAATTTTTTTATTAATTGATTGAATTTTGTTTTTAGGATTCTTCTGCACAACAAATAATTAGGTGCCTTTTTGATTGCATTCAAACGCAGATAAACAATTTTCTTATTTCTAAGGAATCTTTAGTTTACTTAATCATAGATGACTTGAGCCATTTATTAGATTTGGGCATTGACGTACCTTCAGTAATAAATTTTACAAATGTTTGCCTTAATTTGACCAGTGACAAAAATGTTTGCACAATAATTAATTCGCATGTAGGCTCGAAAAGCGATCTTTTAGTAGCAAATAATATTCAATATGTGTGTGACGTTTGCGTAAGTGTTTCGCCACTGAAAACGGGACAAAGTGCTGATATTACAGGAAGTATGTTGGTGCAAAGGGGGTCTCAGCAAAATAAATTTCATTATAAGGCTTTTGATAAGGGTATAAAAACTTTTCTACCTGGGGAAGCTTTATATAAGTGAATTTCAGTGTTGGTTTTTAATAAAGGAGTTTTATTTAGTTTTTGTTTTTCATGTACCTACTTAGAATAGGAGTGGCATTGCAGTAGATCAGAAAAGTGGGGGTTTTGAAAAGTTAGCTTTTTGTAGCTTTGGATAAGCCCAGATTTTATAAGGGTAGAGATCACTTATACAAGGCTTAAGACTGGTCAATGTAAGACAAGCCAGATGGCGCTGTATAAATTGCTTATACCGCCAAAATTGTGACATCATAGGTGGCGGCACATGGTTTTATTGGATTTTTTTCCAAACAGCTGTTTTCGCTCAACTATACGTCAAACTCAAACTCGCGCACCTCGCAAAGAAAGAAAAATCGGGCAAGGCGAGCGAGGATCGCGACCCGTCAGTTTCTCCGACGCTTTTCTATAGAAGAAAATCCCGATTATCGGTTAAAAAAAAAACTCGAACAATTAGTGTTTGTGCGTGAACAGTGTCCAAAATCCGACAATTTTAAACGCTTGGAGCATCTTTTTGTAGCTCAAAAACACTTTTGAAAAACAGCTGCAAAATAATAAACCACAGACACACAGTTGCCACCGCACAAATCTATAAATTCTTCTTTGGCGGTGCCGTTTTGCTGATAGGATAATAATGCGGCCGAATAAATAAATCAGTGCGTTCAACCAGTTTGGGGGGTTTTTAATTAGGGTGCCCGGGAATTAACAGAAGTGCGTGCCAGTCGGGCAACCTTGCGATTTTCAGGAAACAAAAATATCGGATAGGCCCTAAATGAGGTTCACAGGGCTGAATTTTACCTGAACCTGAAGAGTACGTAGCAACATTAATTTACAATTATTAAAAAGTGTATTATATTACATACTACACTTTCCGTCCGCCCAATTTGTCTTTAGTTCAGGTTTTTCCCTGTTTGGGTTCAAGGACAAGATTACAAGGACAGTTTTGAAACGAGGGTTTTCAGCTTCAAATTTTCAGGATATTTTTTTGATGAGTCAGTCAATGTCATGTCATCAATAATTAAATAAACAGCCATATTTTTACTAAGTAGTTATTAATCTTTTATCTACAACTAATTTGACTAACTATAGGGTTACAGGCAACACTTCCGGGTGTATATGAGGTTGATGGGTACTTGAAGTACAAATCCTTTGTCTTTTCAAAGAATCTCTTCTGTCAATATTTCTGATGCTACTATTATTTCTTGCCGATGAGATTTGTATGTATTATTCACCCTCTCTGTGGTGTTTTATCAAGACAAGACCTCTTGCATCAGCTTATAATGTGGCATTCATCAATATTTACCATTTACCCCCCATAGGTATAGGTTAGGTTTCTGTTTTTTTCAAGAGGCATACACAAACTGTCACAAACCATTTGTTTATGTGTTTTCCTTGTCAAACTCGTGTGTTTTGGATTGATTAGAATATCCAAGAGACTGTCAAACTTAAATTAAAATGTCCGCCAAGAGGCACACAAACCCTTTGTTTATGTGTTTTACTTGTCAAAGTCCCCTGTTTTGGATAGGCAAATTGTTAATTGAAAAAAAGATACTAGGCCTTTTGGAAAACTACGTGAACAATCATTTTCTACTATAAGGGGTTACTTGTGTGACGACATGACAATATTCCTTTTTTTTTTTTAAATAAAGCTATTTCAAATAGGGCGATTTGACGTTCTCTCAATTCAATATGGCAGCGTGGGAATAACCTCAAGGTTGTCAAGTTTTGTGTTGCCCACGTCGCCATCTTGAATTATCAGCATTTTTTTACGCCACGTCATATTAAAAAAAAATAAGATTTTTACTGCTGCGAGAACGTCGGCGAGTACCAAGGACGATACACACTACTATTACAGGATCGGTTTCGCCTATCCTCATAAGGCATGTGTGGAACAAATCCCCTCTTTCCCCCCTCCACTCCAAACCACCAGTCGTGACTTTGGCAGCATGTTATTTCTCGCCTTGACCTAGGTTATTTAAACAGCTGATGACTTAGTTATGACGTCAGAAATGGTGACACACCAATATGGCGGCGATTACCAAAAACGAGGCTGATAGGCAATCCTGTAGGTGTGTATCATCCTTGGGCTAGGACTGTGACGTTGAAGTCCCAAAAATGCGACGATACCGGATTTCTCGTTGGTAAATCATTCCAACGAAAACAGAACTGCGTGGAATTCAAATAAGTATTGTCTCTCGAGTATCGTACTAGGGCTGGAAGCGGAAACTTAGAGCCAGTTGTACAATCTCGGTTCAAAACAAATTTCAACTGAACCTCTATGAACTGAACTCGACTGGTACTTGAGCTTTCCCATAAAATACATTGCTGTCAGCTACATTGGTCAGCTATTAATCCGAATCGAATTCTATCACTTTTGATATATCAATGAATCAATGCATTTCAAATGGGAATTGGGAAAGTTAAAGTACCAGTCGAGTTCAGCTGAACTTCTCCTTTGAACCAAGATTGTTCAACTGCCTCTCTTTCAATTTTATCTTGTTTCTTTGTCTAGCTCATGTGGATTCAACGAATGTCGTAGAAGCGTTCAGAGACTTTTGTATCCTTGTCTTTCATCTACAATTAGACAAAGATATCCGTTAAATGTCATAAAAATAAAACTCGTTGTCACAGCTCACTACCCAGAACCTATTTGCTTCCTTCACTATGTTAAGAAAAAATAAAGGATAGGTATAATCGATGAACTCCTAATTGTTACTTAGTATAATGTACTTAAAGGTTTGTTCCTATGTTGTCAAATCATTCTTAAAATCTGTATCATTCCCTACTAATGATAAGCAATAAAACTTTGTTTCACGATGGTTCATACTTATTGCCTTCCTTTTTTACTTCGATGTCAAAAGTATGAACCCTCATGAAACGATCTGTATGTTAATTATTTATACAGGGTGTCCCACCGGGAACCATATCGATCTATACCAGATGTCCCTAGAGAGTGGCTCACCCCTATAATTTTTTTATTTTCCAAGGTCAAAAAGTCAAAAATGAGGTATTATTGTATTCGGAATGTCATTTTCTATCAAACTAAGCAAAAATATACCGGGTGACGCATTTAAAATAAGGAAGTTATAGTGATTTCCTGTTAAACCGGAAGTGACAGAAAATAATTGCATACTTCAATCAATCCGTATTCGTGTGAAATATGTATTTACCAAATTTCATTTGTTTATCTTGAAAAATGAAAAAGTTATAGGGGTGAGCCACTCTCTAGGGACACCCGGTATATGAAAAACTGTTCGCAGAAAATTTTTGAAAATTTGACAGTATGCTAATGTCAATAGGGGCAACCCGGCTGAAATATTTTCAAGATGGTGGCACTTCCGGTTATATCGGAAGTAGACGTCAACTTGCCTATTTTAAATGAGACACCCTGTATGTGATTGAATATTTGGATTCTACATAAAGCTCTGATCAGATTTCATGTGCTATACTCAATACCTAAGTTCAACTGTTTTGGAAATATATTGACATTTGAAAATTGACTTTTTGCAAATTTGACAGGCTGTAGGTAAAACCTAAACGATTAATTTTAGAGAAAAACCTACCTTACATTCTTATCTTAAGACTTTTATAAACTATGAGTTGACACCAACTTTGAATTTAATCCATGATCAAAAATTCCGGATAAATTTAATCTCAGGTTAAATTCAAAGTTGGTTTCAAATGATAGTTTATGAAAATCTATCTAACAAGAATGTAAGATCGGGTTTCCTCTAAAATTAATCGTTTAGGTTTTACAGCCTGTCAAAGTTGCAAAAAAGTCAATTTTTCTGAAACAGTTTAACTTTGGTATAGGGCATAGGGTATATCACATGAATTCTGCTCAGAATTTTACGTAGAATCCAAATATGCAATCACATACAGGGTGTCTCATTTAAAATAAGCATGACGTCTACTTCCGGTATAACCGGAAGAGCCACGATCTTGAAAATATTTCAGCTGGGTTGCCCACGTTGACATTAGTATACTGTCAATTTTTCAAAAATTTTCTGCTTACAGTTTTTCATATACAGGGTGAGTTACTAAGCGCGCGGTGGTCCATATCTCCTATACTAACGGAGATCGAAAGAAAAATTAAATACAAAACTTGAAGATAAACATGAGTACTACATTCCTAAATTATTTTCCAGTATACAGTGTGGCCCAATAACTAGTAGTAATACAAAGATATGTTTTTTTAAATGACACTCCCTGTATATTATGACATGTCTAGATTCTGCAGAAAATTCTAGACATATTTCATGTACAATATCATATACCTATCTTCAACTGTTTCGGAAATATTGACAGTTGAAAATTGACTTTTTTGCATCTTTGACAGACTGTTAAACCTGAACGGTTAATTTTACAAGAAAACGGATTTTACATTCCTATCTTAGTTTTTCATAAACTATCATTTGACACCAACTTTGAATTTAATCTATGATTAAAAATTCCGCCTAAATTATTAATCTTCGGTTAAATTCAAAGTTGGTGTCAAATGATAACTTATGAAAATCTAAGATAGGAATGTAAAATCCGTTTCCTTGTGAAATCAACCGTTCAGGTTTTACAGTCTGTCAAAGATGCAAAAAAGTCAATTTTGAACTGTCAATATTTCCGAAACAGTTGAAGATAGGTATATGACATTGTACATAAAATATGTCTAGAATTTTCCGCAGAATCCAGAAATGTCATAATTTACAGGGGGAGTCATTTAAAAAAACATAACTTTGTATCACTACTAGATATTGCGCCACCCTGTATACTGGAAAATAATTTAGGAATGTAGTAATCATGTTTATCTACAAGTTCTGTATTTAATTTTTTCTTCGATTCACGTTAGTATAGGAAATATGGACCACCGCGCGCTTAGTAACTCACCCTGTATAGATTGATTTGGTTTCCGATGGGATACCCTGTATAGCAGACGTATCGAATCGTGGGTTTGGCATCCGGGCCCTGTTATTCTATTGGTCGATCAATTTTTGGCAGACCAATAAGATTCTAGATTGCTACATTTTTCTTGTAGATAGTTATCAGCAAGTTTATCTGAAGATGAGTAAATTTGGCTTGTGAACCTTTCTTTACATATTATAATTACCTACTTCAGGCATTTGTTGAGTGAATCAAGAAATAAATAAATAAAATTATTACATAAAATGCTTGAGGATCGGTTTCTCAATAGCAAGTCAACCCCGGGTTAAGCATAGCATAACTCCAGGATAAACATTGCAACTGGATACCTACATTTACTCTGCAGTTAAAACCAACCCGGAGGTGATTCGCTATTGATTATATTTAATTTCTAACAAATAATAGGAAAAAACGTGGCATCCATGATATCGGTTAGTTGAATAAAAATTTCTAGTTTCTAATGTGGGAACAAGAAGGGCAAAAATTTCGACTTTAGCTAATAAGGGGGAGTTTTCAGTCACGTAATTTTTTGTTCAAATTTGTTATTCATCAATTTATTTGATAATCTGACTAAAATACATATTGTTCATTCTCGGTTGCATTCATGTATCTGCATCAAAAAATATCATAATTTTCCATATTCATCGCACCTGAAAATGGTCTGTTGAATGCAAAAAAGTGAATTTTTATCTAATTTTAAGAAAAAAACGGAGATCCAAATCCAAATTTCATGAGATGAACTCGAGCAACTTTTCGTAAATTATCGAAGGTTCAAACCTGAGGCACTATCTACAATTAAAACAATCCCAAGATTCCAGTTCAAGTTAATGACCCTAGAATAATAATTATAGAATAATCTAAAGCTCACTTCATTAGGAAAAGCTTGAAATTAAATTATTTTGCATCTCTCTTTATAATATTGCAGATTTTTAGAGTTAGAGTCAACATAGAACAGAATTTTAACTTACCTCAACCTATTTTTTTTTCTAATTTTTAAGATTTTGCCAAGTGTTATCAAATTATCATTAATTTTGTTTTTTTATGTTTGTTTTTTCATTTACCTACTATACTTATACATAATTATAAAACATATCCCAACTTGAGATATTTATTCAAAACCAAGAGAATTGGTAAAGCGAGGCAATACTGCAATAAGTAAAGTGTGATATTGCTTTCTCATATGGAAGAGATTTTTCGCAAGATAAAATGCGAATTTATGGGATATTTTTCTTTGAATTTGGCGACAAAGGTGGATTATCCGCAACTCTTTTTCGCATTAACCTGTTCTATGGGGTGCATACAAAATCCCGAAAAATAAATGGAAATTATATGGCACCCGGCCCAAACTTTTCTCTTTCAATTTTCCACTTCTTATTTTTCACTTTCTAATCCTCGTTCCATTCTCATCCATGGATCTGGTGCCAAGATGTGCCTACATTAGGCCAACATTTCAATTTTCAAGTTTTTGTCTTTATACCTAGTGAATATATTTGACACTACATGGTAATGTTTAATTATAAATGGTTTCAAATCTGAATTGAATGAACAAAATGTGGGCTTTTACATCTATAAAACAATTTCAGAGTAGGTTGTACTAGTACTAAAGCTCGATGAGTACTAGTGGTAGTGGGCAGTAGGTAGTACCTACTACCTACCCACCTGTCTGAAATAAAGTTTTGAGGAATAACCATAGATTTAGTGGACCTATAAAGATTTAATTTATTCAAAACATTGAAACCTTATTTTTTTCTACATTTCGGAAACATTAATTACTAAATCTTAATCAGGATTTGCTATCAGAAACTTATGCCCCTAACGTGGAACTGAAGGAATCATGTTTCCAAAAGATGATTCAAATGGCTGAATATTTCAGTTCTCAATTATGAGAAAAGAAAATATGTGAATAATTTGGGAATATGTACTTTGATTGATGATACACCCTGTGTTTATAAAATTGAAAATATGAGATTTCTTGGCTGAATCCTGCTATCTGGTGACAGTCCTTGATGTAATGTTGTTAGCTCCTTCATTGATAAAGGATCATGTATATTCTAAAGCTATGATTTCTCAGCTGCCTTCTTGATTGAAATACTAAAGATTATAACTAGAAAAGTCCACTAGAACCAGAATTTCCAAGTATTCAACTACATTCTTTTTTTCTTTTTCAGCTTCAAATCTCAGCTGCTGTCACTCCTATCGGCGGCCCAAATGACGTGCGACGGCGGTGTCCCGTGATCCAGTAACTTGTACAGGATTAAATTATAAAATAAAGAAAATAATTAGAGGAAATCCAGCGGCGGAGGGAGGGCAGCATCGCCATGGCGGACTTGGAGGCCGTGCTGGCCGACGTCAGCTATCTGATGGCCATGGAAAAGAGCAAGTGCACGCCGGCGGCCAGAGCGAGCAAGAAAATCATATTACCTGATCCCAGGTAAAAATTTATGTACCTCAGAAAGTTTCAATTTACAACTGAATCATCCCCATAGTAGGGAAACTTTAAAAAAAACGTCTTAAAATCGTCATTTACTTATAGACACAAGAAACTTAACTCTTTTAACATTGAAAATGCCTTTTTCCTTATTGAGTTTCAATCCAGAATTTTCCAATGTTTCCATTACTTTTTTAGTAATTTTTTCTACACACCTTTCTGGGAGTCGGAATGAATAAGAATATCATTGAGCAGTGAGTGTTTGGAATGTTTTTTAACAAGGAACTCATTATTTCTTGAAAATTATCTAGTGCTGAACAGATTCCAAATAGTAGACGAGCGCAACTATAACACCCTCATGGTGTTGAAAAGGTGAGATATTTTTGAGACTGCTCTGCAACTTTTATTTGCCAAAACTCTCGTTTGCAATCTAAAAGTGTAAAATATTTGGCTCCACGTATTTGAGCTGAAATTTCTTTCAGTGGATAATGTCTTCTTAAAATGTTTTTGTTAATATTTGTAGGATCTATGCAGATTCTTAATTTACCTTTTTGCTTAAAAGTTACTAACGGACTGACTGCAGGAGTAGGTTCTGTTACGGGCTTAATGACACCTAACTTAACCATATTTTCCAATTCTTTTTTCACTTCATCTCGTATGGCAAAAGGTATTTTTCTTGCAGGCCTTATTTTAAACTTTGGATTTTCTATGAAATCAATATTGTATTGTATTCATAATTTTTTAAACAATCCAATCCTTGAATAATGCTATCATTGGACTTTGTTGTCTCGCAGTAATGTACACGTACCTACAATTAAACCTAGTTCGTGACAGGATTTTCTTACTAGAATGGGCTGCACCTCTTCATGGACTATCTTTAATATTATCTGTACTAAGGTTTTATTAATATGACATTTAGTTTAGGGATAAAATATTCTTCAAATTTACCCTTTATTATGATAATATCCTTCTTCTCACCATCAGATAATCCAAAATTATTGAATATTTCTACAGCATCTGGGCTAAATGTAGCTGCTTGTACTTCTTTGGGTTTCTTTGATAATTGTGTAGCTAAAGCGTACCATTCGAACTGTTGTATCCAATTTTTCCATTCTCTTTCTATATTTTCGGAATTTAAAACAAGGTGCTTTGGAGGACGTACACCAATAACTCCAGATTCGTTATTTGTTGATGCTGTCATATTTATTTATGCTGAATTCGTAGGTCTATAAACCTAGCAGTCCCAAGGTGGAAAAAAACTTCGGGAACTATATAATAATTAGGTGCTTTTTAGGTGCTAATTAGGGCCTCTAATTAAAAATTAGGTGCTCCTTTAGTTTCTGAAAAAATCAAAAAAAAAAACTAAGGGATTGCTAAAAAAAAAAAAGAAAATTCTGGAAAAATATTTTTCCTACGAGCGTGCGCAAAGTAGTACTTTTCCGCAGGCATTTCGGTACTCAAAGTTACACTTTTCCGCACTCAGTGCGGATATAGGCCTTATCCACACTGAGTGCCGAAAAGTAAAAATAATTGTCAAGCAACAATATGTGAACCTGTCGACTTTGACACATGATGACAAATTTTTCCTCTGTTTCTATGGGCGGGTATTATAAAACTACTTTGAGAGTTAACTTAAAGTTAACTTCTGGAATTACATGTAATTCAAAAAGTTAACTACAAGTTAACTGTCAAAGAAATTTTATAATACCCGCCCTATATCAGCCAACATCTATACGAACACCGAATATAATTAACTTTGACACATGGTCAGATTTGTTTCTAAGGATTTGTTCTCTATTTATATGCAAAAATCTACAAACTTTCTCATCAAATTTAAACGCTTTAAGATGAACAGCTCTGACGAGGATTTTCTGTTATTTTTTTTTTGTTACGTAATTTTTTGATAAATGCGCAGGTTCGCTTCAAGTTAATTAAAAATAATTGAACAAATTATCGTTTTTTTTTCAAATTTTTGTTGTTACCTACCTGATATGAAGCTCGTAGGAAAAATTTTGTTCCTAACACGTGCGCAAAGTGTCTTTTCCGCACGCAAACACTTATCCGAACTCCGCTTCGCGTCGTTCGTATAACTGTGTTTGCGTGCGGAAACGTAACACTTTGCGCACTTGTTAGGAAAATAACTATTTTACTATAGGGGACTCAGAGGCGGATTTAGGCACAGGCAGCCGAGGCAACCGCCTAGGGCGCCACAATTAGGGGCGCCAAATTGCGAACAAATTTATTTCGAAGTTTAAAAAAAAAAAATGTATGCCACAAGGATAATAGGGAGATAATAAAAGATCCTACAACATTGTCTGGTAATGGTCAATTTACGTGTTATCAGTGTCACCTGTCACCGCTCATCAAGGCACTTTCGATCATCATGTCTCAAAACAGATTGAACAGACTTTCGCACTAAGAATTGAAAAAAAAAAGTTATAACCTTCAACCATTGAACACACTCAATGGTTACAACATGTTCGATGGTGTAGATTGTAGATCTGTTGTCACAGAAATCACAAACCAGTCGGAGCGTTTTTGATTGGTGCAAATCGCCAACAACCTATCAACGAACTCATCTCTGACTTTGCAAGACGTAAAGCCAGACGGATTAATTTTTAGTGTCGATAATTTAATTAGTTTTGAGAAATTATTTTTGTGTTTAGTTAATTTGAAAAATGCATATACAGGGTGTCCCAGAATATGTGGGCAATCTCTCGGATTCAGATAGAACTCGAAAAAATAACATGACAACTCCCTATAAAAAAAAATTCCTACGGCCCCCCCTACGAAGTTACGTGCCCCTAAAGGACGCCTCTGAAAATCGGTTTTTTGTTGATAACTTTCAAAATACTTCGTGTAATTTTTTTTCTTTTAATATGATGGATACTAGGTAAGACCCCCTAAAATGGATCCTCTCAAACACACTTGACCAATCTGGTTTGCCAAGGACGGACAGAGGTCTTATCTAGTATCCATCATATAAAAAGACAAAAAAATTACACGAAGCATTTTGAAAGTTATCAACAAAAAAAACGATTTTCAGAGGCGTCCTTTAGGGGCACGTAGCTTCGTAGGGGGGGGGGGGGGGGGGGCGTAGGAATTTTTTTCCATAGGAAGTTGTCATTTTATTTTTTTGTGTTCTATCTGAATCCGAGAGATTGCCCACATATTCTGGGTCACCCTGTATATGTATCTACAGTATAGATTTATTCTCACAGACATCACATACCTAATACATATCTTTTTTTTATTTATTTAAATAACTTCAAAAATAAAGAAATTACGACAGTTTAAACTGTTATCAAGATAAAAAGAGCACACTGTATATACTGTTGTATTTGCCTTTCACTTATTATTGGCGTAGCATTATCCATGGAAATTTGACAGGTTGACCATCGTATAATAATGACAATATATGTCAAATTCCAGACAGTTTTAAGTGTGTTTCACATAATTTCGTAAGTTTCGCAGTATTGAAATTCTCTGGCCTATCTGGCTAATCAAATTTGACACATTTGTCAATATATTTTTCAATAGTGCAACATATAAACGGCACCTTACTATTCTGCATACCTGCAAAATCCATTGACATTGTTCAAAATTCGGCATTGTCAAATTTATTTCATATTTAAGATGCCCAAAATAATTTCTCAAGAGAAAATAAGGGAAATGGGAAATAATAAAATGTTACGGCTATTTCGAGAAAAGAGAGGTTCTTCAAGGAATAATAATTGGAGTCCAACTACCAGATCATGGGGTAGGTATAGTTTAAATATAGACGTAAAGCCATTTCTCATAACCAGCAACCAATATTTTTGTTCGACGAAACCCGAGAAAAGTTACTGCGAAAACATACATTTATGCTGTTAAGCTTATTGTTATGGTTACGTTGGATTTAGTTTATTTCAAATAAATTTGATAATTTTACTAACATTTTTTTTTGGAATTAAATCTACTCAGATATTTTACACATTCTGGCAACTCGGCTTTCTGTTTTATAGCCCTGAAGGACCCCGCAATATTTAAATGGAAATTGGTTACCCGTGATATTTGGATGAAATTTAAATATGTTGTTGGGGATGCCATAAGCAACATTTTTTACCATGGGCACAACCCTGTATATATGACAGGTGAGGCGTGGTTAGCTGTCAAATATTGGAATCTTATATCCAAAAGCAGTCACTATGGCAGATTTTGATTAACAAAAAATTTATTTCTACTAAGTCGACCAATTTAAGTCGAAAAATGTCAACCATTTTGACACCTGTCAAAACCCTGCCAAATGGCAGCACTCATCTTTTCCATTTTTCAATATTTCACGATGTCATTTGACATTTTTAACTTGTATGTAAATTCTGAATTCAAAAATTGAAAAAAAAAAAGACAGAACTGTCAAAACCTGTCATTTGTTTTAAAAGAAAAAAAATACTTTAATTTGATTCTTTTTTGTTTCAAGGTAATTTATTGGTGATAAAATATTAAACAAAGTTTGGGTATGTCACATTTTGACAACTGTCAGAGTCAAAATGTGACATGCATGAACTTTGTTTAATGTTTTATCACTAATAAACAACCTTGAAACAAAAAAGAACTAGATTAGAGTATTTTTTTCTACTAAAACAAATGACAGGTTTTGACAGTTCTGTCATTTTTTTTTCCAATTTTTGAATTCAGAATTCACATACAAGTTTAAAATGTCAAATGACAACGGGGAAAGATGAGTGTTGCTGTTTGGCAGGGTTTTGACAGGTGTCAAAATCGTTGATATTTTTCGACTTAACATGGTCGACTTAGTAGACATCGATACTTCGTTCATCAAAATCTGCCATAGTCACTCTGCTTTTGGATATAAGTTTCCAATATTTGACAGCTAACCACGCCTCACCTGTCATATATACAGGGTTGTGCCCATGGTAAAAAATGTTGCTTATGGCATCCCCAACAACATATTTAAATTTCATCCAAATATCACGGGTAACCAATTTCCATTTAAATATTGCGGGGTCCTTTAAAAAATACATTGTCATCAAATGTCATTATTATACGAGGGCAACCTGTCAAATTTCCATGGATAATACTACGCCAATAATATCTGAAAAGCATATAGGTATTTCTTTTGAAATTCTCTCTCTTTTTTTCTCTCGCACCTTCAATTTCCCTCATTCGGTTTTTAAGAAGTTTCATTTCTACCACGTGTACGGCGCTTCACATGTTTTTTTTCCTTTTTTTTTTCGCGCGCAATCAACCTGTAGAATGGCGGGAATTTCGAATTCACTTAATTTCTAATTTCTTGATATAAATTTTTTTCATTCCTACGATTTGATATCCCGAAAAAAGTATTAAATTGCCGAGGTGAAATCATCATATAACTTTCCCAATCACCAAGAAAAGTTTATTTTTTTGAAAGCTCAAAATAACCATTTTTGGGCGTGGCACCCGGAAAAAATTTCGGGCATTTATTCAACTTCTTAAATTAGTAATTTGGACCAATATAACAATCCACGCGCCGCCATTGCCTGTATGCACCCCCCTGAAACTAATCCTGGCGGCGCCTATGCTAGTGTGCCAAATTTTGATGTATGCAACCCAGCACTACGGAGGGATTATTGTCTCGCTCACACTCATTGCGGTTGATGTAAAAGGAAGAATAAGAGCTTCTTCATCTTCCTAACCTCAATGATCCAAACACTTCAAACAGCTGTTCTCATTAGCCGCCATAGTGCAGAGAGAGATGCAAATCCCTCTTGTTTGTTGTCCTTTCCAGTGTCTTTGTTTAGTTCATTGTACCTATTAGAGCGAATTTCATTGGTTGTAAACTATCAGAAAACTGGTTTCTGGCGATTTGCACCAATCAAAAACACTCCGACTGGTTTATGATTTCTGTGAGAACAGACCTCGTGTAATAAGTAAATATTTATATGATATACTTATTTGAAAAAAAGAAGTTCCTTTTTTGTCTTATTCTCCTAGTCTCTAAACGATAGCCTAAAATTCATTGTTCATCATATTGATCTTTCACCATTTTGACAATACAATTTGAGAAGGGGGCGCCAGAATTGAACTTTGCCTCGGCATAAAATAGCTATTGGACCGGCCCTGAGGGGACTACTAGCTTTCATAAACCTAGCAATCCCTTAGTTTTTTTTTGATTTTCTCAAAAATCAGAGGAGCACCTAATTTTTAATTAGAGGCCCTAATTAGCACCTAAAAAGCACCTAATTATTATATAGATCCCGAAGTTTTTTTTCTATTCTGACACACCAACATGTAAACGTAAAGCCAGCAGTCCCCTAATAATTAAAAAAAAATCTGTAATTCAGTTAATAATTAATCAATTCTATTTTTTCTTCGACTATTTAGGAGCACCTAAAAAGCACCTAATTCTGATACAAAGAAAAAAATTGAAAAAATATTTTTCACTATAGGGGACTGCTAGCTTTTATAAACCTAGCAGTCCCTTAGTTTTTTTTGATTTTCTCAGAAACTAAAGGAGCACCTAATTTTTAATTAGAGGCCCTAATTAGCACCTAAGAAGCACCTAATTATTATATAGTTCCCGAAGTTTTTTTCTACCTTGGGACTGCTAGGTTTATAGACCTTGAATTCGTTATTTCTGACCTTAATATGAAGATTTTGCAAAAGCTTTAGAAAACATCCACTGGGCATCTTTTGAGTGTCCCAAGAATCAATATCAACGCCCAATGAACGGTTTCTTCTAGGATACGTTCGACAATGACATGGACATTAAAAAATGTTTGTAAGACATTTACTGTTGATCATTTCTCAAATCTCAAGTATTCTATTATTGAACTGAAACAAAAACCAATCGTTGCATGTCGAATTTAGCGGAAGTCTGAAATGTTTATTATAGAAAAATAGCTGGGCCACTTAAAAATAGAATGTTGGGAAAAAACTGATGTAAATTTCTGTTTACACGGTCCAATTATTTCTCCAGTAAACAAACATTATCAATAGAGTTTTTCTCTTGGCCAGAATTTACCGCTAATTAAATCAATCAAAACAAAAAATCCAAATCGCCTATCAATGTTGTCAATTTCATCATCCTCACACTTTTTCCTGAATTTCATCAGCAGCCACAGTATTTACGGTTCCTGGTATAAACAATCTAGTTCGAGCTAATAAGAGTAATTATTTTTTTTGCGCCTCGTTAATCGGTCAGAAATTTTTATTGCCAGACTATTTTAAGACCACATTTTGTTATTTATACCTATAGGCATGAGGATCTTTTGTATTTGCTACCTATTATTCTATTTTTAATAATTAGCGTTGTATTTATTCAAACAAGGACCACCTCTACCAACCACATTCAGATTCTCATTAAATATATTCAATTCTTTCGTTCAATAATAGTTGAATCAATGCAAACCATACACATTTATCAAATGTTTGCATTGAGCACATAATATGTGAGAAAAAAATTGATAAGAGCCAAAATAACAGATTAGAAAACATCCATTCTAATCGAACATTAAACTGGGAGGCAATCAGAAGCGGAGATATACATATATACAATATATCGGGCTATGATATAACAAATAAAATAATATAGAATTTTTTGTACGTAGGGATACATACGCCATAAATTATTGTAAATCACAGTTTCCTGTTTGAAATATATTAGTTTATTTTAAATACCGTCAATAATTTTCTATTATTTTTTTGTTTCAGCGTGCGTAGCGTGATGCACAAATATCTGGAAAAGAAAAACGAAGTTTCTTTCGATAAGATCTTCCATCAGACTTTAGGTAAGTTGGCTCCAGCTAACTTTCAAACTAATAACGTCAAGGATGATGCGCCGTGATTTTTGGCCGTTTCGATCCGATCGATAGACGGAGTTTTCTATTAAAATTGCATTCGGGATTGGGAAACTATAGTGTGCTGAAATAACAAATCGGTTAATTAAATGAAGGGAGCCAGCAGGCAGCAGTCTGGCTTTTCCAAATATGTATTTATGAGGGAAAATTGCTTCAATTAAGCTGGAGGAAATAATATGTATTTTGTCGGTTTGTCTACTAAGTTCTATTTTTTTCCCTATTATTACATACATGTTCAAGGTCTTTAGCATCCATCGTTTTTTTTATTTTTTTGAGGTTTGTATTATTGCCAGTTTTGATTGTTTATATTAATTATTTTATTATTGTTTCTTGTCTTGTCGTTTTCTAAATATTCTCAAAAATCTTAGTATGTAGACACGGAAGATTGGAAACTTTGAAAATTCTGCAGATATTTTCTAAGCTTTGCAAGCCTTTGAAAATTCTAAAAGACTATGTCTCATTATTCAAGATTGGAATATTGCGGGGGCATTTTTTAATCCCAATGGCGTGTGATTAAATCTGTAATGTCTGCTTTCTATATTAAAACCCTGGAAAAAAAAAATTGAAGACCAAAAACAATCAGTCTCTTGAAGACTTCCAAGATTTTTGAAATTCATGACTTAAAACTCAAATGCTTTGAAGATTCTGAAGCACAGAACTGAAGAATAAAACTTCAAAATTGGATATGAAGCATTCAACTTTAGAATCACATGTTTCATTATTGAACATTTGAGAGAGAAGAGCAGAAAGACTCAACCTGGGTATCACGTCATTCATTTCTCGTTGGAATGTTGCGGGGGCATTTTTTAATCCAAAAAGCGTTTGATTGAATCTGTAATGTCCGTTTTATTCTGTATTGAAAACTGAAAAAAAAAAGTTAAAGACCCAAGACAATTATCAATCTCTCAATTCTCCAAAGAAAACTTCCAAGATTTCTGAAATTCATGACTTAAAACTTAAATGTTTTGAAGATTCTAAAGCACAGAACTGAAAGGTAAAACTTCAAAATTGGATATGAAGCATTCAACTTTAGAATCACATGTTTCATTATTGAACATTTGAGAGAGAAGAGCAGAAAGACTCAACCTGGGTATCACGTCATTCATTACTCGTGGGAATGTTGCGGGGGCATTTTTTAATCCAAAAAGCGTTTGATTGAATCTGTAATGTCCGTTTTATTCTGTATTGAAAACTGAAAAAAAAAAGTTAAAGACCCAAGACAATTATCAATCTCTCAATTCTCCAAAGAAAACTTCCAAGATTTCTGAAATTCATGACTTAAAACTTAAATGTTTTGAAGATTCTAAAGCACAGAACTGAAAGGTAAAACTTCAAAATTGGATATGAAGCATTCAACTTTAGAATCACATGTTTCATTATTGAACATTTGAGAGAGAAGAGCAGAAAGACTCAACCTGGGTATCACGTCATTCATTACTCGTGGGAATGTTGCGGGGGCATTTTTTAATCCAAAAAGCGTTTGATTGAATCTGTAATGTCCGTTTTATTCTGTATTGAAAACTGAAAAAAAAAGTTAAAGACCCAAGACAATTATCAATCTTTCAATTCTCCAAAGAAAACTTCCAAGATTTCTGAAATTCATGACTTAAAACTTAAATGTTTTGAAGATTCTAAAGCACAGAACTGAAAGGTAAAACTTCAAAATTGGATATGAAGCATTCAACTTTAGAATCACATGTTTCATAATTGAACATTTGAGAGAGAAGAGCAGAAAGACTCAACCTGGGTATCACGTCATTCATTAGTCGTTGGAATGTTGCGGGGGCATTTTTTAATCCAAAGGGCGTTTGATTAAACCTGTAATGTCCGTTTTATTCTGTATTGAAAAACTGAAAAAAAAAGTTAAAAACCCAAGGTAATCAGTCTCTTGATTCTTCAAAAAACACTTCCAAGATTTCTGAAATTCATGACTTGAAACTTAAATGTTTTGAAGATTCTACAGCACAAAACTGAAGAATGAAACTTCAAGATTGAATATGAAGCATTTAACTTTAAAATCACATGTCTAATTATTTAAGATTTGAGACTGAAGACCATAAATACTCAACCCGGATATTATGTTATCCATCATTACTCGTTGGAATATTGCGGGGGCATTTTTTAATCCAAAGGGTGTTGGATTAAATCTGTAATGTCCGTTTTCTATATTAAAACGCTGAAAAAAAATTAAAGACCCAAGACAATCACTCTCTTGATTCTCCAAAGAAGCAGTGTTGCCTGATCTCACGATTATTCGTAAGATTACATGATTTTGGTCAGAATTTCACGATCTCACGAATAAGATAGCAAATCTCACGAATTCTCTCTGTAGTAATACAAATCAGTAATCAAATATAATATTATCGGAAATAATCGAAATAAAAATCTACTATACAATATTTAGTTATGTTACGCCACTCCTGGTACATGCCCGCCCAAGAACACTTAACCTAATAGCACGGAATATTCAAAAACAATCAGCAGACTAACTCGAGCTTTGTATCCCAAAATGGCGGCGTGCGCAGATGAGATGGGCGTTAAATCTCATTGTTTTGCCATTTAAAGATAGGCTGTATCCTCGAATGGCGGTGTGCGCAGAAGAGATGCGCGTGAGAGTTAACCTGCTGTTTGTTTTTGTATATCCTGTGCTAATAGGACTGCTTATTGAGCTGACAGTGTCTGCGAAGTCCACAAGACCCCACTATCTGTGACGTCAACTGCAGACCTTAACTTTTGGCAAAAAATGCATTATCCGAGTCCAAAAAAACGATTTCATAAACGATGAAATTGCCTTTTTTTAATTTAAAATTCCCAAAAAAATTAACTCACAAGCACAGCCTAAATCGCAAGCAATCCATCGAGGTCTGCGGGTGACGTTACTACTATCAGTTGTTGATAGTAGTGACGTCACTCGCAGACCAGCTGCCGACTCGAAAAATTAGCAAACGTACACCTTTTTAGGATAAGCAATCCTGCCGATAGATAATGGAAACGAGGTTCCTCTCAGAAACACCTGCTAAAAAACGGAAAAAACAAGGTACAAGATTTAATAATGAAATTTCAATTTGTTATGGATGTAAAATCGTGTCTACTCTATCAAAAATCTATAGAAGAACATTGTGCATTATTTTCTTACAAGCAATTTTAGGTCTCACGATTTCTCACGATTTTACTTCATCGATTCTCACGAATTTTTTTTATTTCATCTGGCAACACTGCAAAGAAGACTTCCAAGATTCCGAAATTCATGATTTAAGATTTAAATGCTTTAAAGAATCTGAAGCACAGAACTGAAGAATGAAACTTCAAAATTGGATATGAAGCATTCAACTTTAGAATCACATGTTTCATTATTGAACATTTGAGAGAGAAGAGCAGAAAGACTCAACCTGGGTATCACGTCATTCATTTCTCGTTGGAATGTTGCGGGGGCATTTTTTAATCCAAAGGGCGTTTGATTAAATCTGTAATGTCTGTTTTATTCTGTATTGAAAAACTGAAAAAAAAAAGTTAAAAACCCAAGGTAATCAGTCTCTTGATTCTTCAAAAAACACTTCCAAGATTTCTGAAATTCATGACTTGAAACTTAAATGTTTTGAAGATTCTAAAGCACAGAACTGAAGAGAAAACCTTCAAGATTGAATATGAAGCATTTAACTTTAGAATCACATGTCTCATTATTCAAGATTTGAGACTGAAGACCATAAATACTCAACCCGGATATTATGTTATCCATCATTACTCGTTGGAATATTGCGGGGGCATTTTTTAATCCAAAGGGCGTTTGATTAAATCTGTAATGTCCGTTTTCTATATTAAAACGCTGAAAAAAAATTAAAGACCTAAGACAATCACTCTCCTGATTCCCCAAAGAAGACTTCCAAGATTCCGAAATTCATGACTTAAAACATAAATACTTTGATGATTCTGAAACACAGAACTGAAGAGTGAAACTTCAAAATTGGATATGAAGCATTCAACTTTAGAATCATATGTCTCATTATCGAAAATTCGAGAAAGGAGAGCATAAAAACTCAATCTGGGTATCACGTCATTCATTACTCATTGGAACGTTGCGGGGGCATTTTTTAGTCCAAAAGGGGTTCGATTGAATCTGTAATGTCGGTTTCCTATATTAAATTGCCGAAAAAAAAATTAAAAACTCAAGACAATCAGTTTCTTGATTCTCCAAAAAAGACTTCCAAGATTTCTGAAATTCTTAACTTAAAACTTAAATATTTTGAAGATTGAAAAGTACAGAAGTGAAGAGTGAAAACTTAAGATTGAATATGAAGTATTCAACTTTAGAGTCCCATCATGTTTCATTATTCAAGATTTGAGAGTGGAGACCATAAATACTTAACCCGGATATTTGGTCATCAATTAGAGCTTAGAATCTAGATGCATTTATATTTGATGGAAGCCTTGAGACTAAATTTTGATTGTTTATATTAATTATTTCATTATTGTCCCTTATCTTGTCGTTCTCTGAATATTTTCAAAAATCTTAGTATTCAGCCGGCACATTTATTGGAATCAATGATAAGAAAAATTCCGATAAATCGGAGCAATTGTGATGCTGAGGCAGTATTCAGTATTTGAATAAGAATTGCTTAACATATTCTATTTTCCAAGAAGTTTCAAATATTTACTATGGATGTAGAAGGTCTCAAACTGCGTCTTAAGGCACATGAATTAGGTTGGATTCAAAGAAAACACAGTAGATTGGAAATTTTGAAAATTCTGCAGATTCTTACTTAATTAAAAACCTTTGAAAATTCTAAAAGACTTATGTAAGACTAATTGATTACTCAAAACTCTAAAGGTACCTATTGGAGAGTTTTCCATGTCTTATAGTAGGACTCATGAGTTAAAACTATTAGCTCCTATAGTTTTAAAGATTGAAAAATAAAGTCTTTAATGATCCTAAA